CATTGGTCAAAATATTATATGGCTTTGCAATACCTAACTATTTTGCCTCCTGACAAAAAAACCCTTTTATAGGGTAAAAAGGTGGCGGCCAATAAAAACAAGGTGTGGAAAGTAAAAATAGCATCTTTAAATGAACAGCTAAATACAGTTACCAGGAAAGCTGAGGTTTTGAGCAGCGTCCTTGGCATAAGCAAGCAAGCAAGAAAATCTCATGACTGAATCAGTAGGAGAATGTGCTTTCAAAGTTAGAAACATTTAGGAGCTTTACACTTTTTAGGGTTTTTTCCTCGTCCTTTTCTCCCATCTTGCATTGTGTGTGCACACAGTTTTTTTGATAAAAGGGAATATAAAGGGAGGTTAGGTTCAGATCACTACCAGAAAACTTTCTTTGCAGAGCAGGGTTCGCAACTGTTCACCCACACTTGTGGACTTAATCATTTCACTCAGTCACTGACAGGGCAAGTGTGAGAGCAAAACAAATCCAGACCTTTAACCCTAAAATGGCCAGAAGTTACTGATGCCATGAAAAAGTTTTAGGTTACAGGCTGTGTACTGGGAAATACATCCAGTACACCAGATGCTGCTTCTCAATTGTATTTTTCAGGCCAGTGAGCAAAAGCGCACATGCCTTTTTTTGAGACTAGGAGCTTGAACACCATTCTAAACTTACATGGAAAGGGGCACAGAAGAGGCAAACTCTGAACAGCTGCATAGTTTTGATGAATGTTATCCACTCTGCATTCAAAACAACTCACCTATCTGCTGTTAATGGAATGACTGGAATAAATTGAGAACTTCCAATAGATCCTCAAGAGGACTCTTTTCAAAAGATTTGGAAATTTAATTATTTTTAGCACATCACTCAACAGAAGCCAGGAGGATGGCTACTTTGAATCTTTTAAATAAGTTCTCAGAGACTACAACTGTGCTTCTTTAGTTTGGATGCTCAGGAAGATGAAGTCTCTAACTAAAATAATTCTGCTGACTTGTCAAGGTTGGCAAAGCCTGACCTTGGCAGTACATCTTGCTCCCATAGCCTGGGCTTTAGGAGGGCAGTTTCAGAGGTGATCTGGCTGCTTCACTTCCAGATAATCCAAAGCCTGTGCTGCTCAAGGCAACATACAGATTGAGTCTACATTGGGGAATGTGATGGAATGAAATTCCTTCCTGTTTAAAGTAAACTAAACAAACTCACTTTACGTATTGGAAGGAGGCAGCAACCTCCTCCAGAGTGGGGAGAAGCAGTGTGATGGATAAATAGCAAGAGTCACAGGTAGCCCTGCAGTGCTCCAGCACTGTGAATGGCTGTTTATAAAATCCCAAACAGAATTAACAAAGTGGCCAAGATGGCACACAGACTAAATTACCCATGCTGGCAAACCTGTGTCTCTGTCTTCTCCAGCTTTTCCCTCTTCCTCAGCCTTTCTTTCACTCCATCAAGAGGATATGTTTAGTATATTTTCCTGCAGCCAAAATCCCTTCTGTAGGGTTTAGAAGAACCAAAATTACAATACTCAACAGTATCCTCAGATAAACCATGCAGGCAGCCTCTATTCCAGGGTACCTAAAGGAGGCAGGAAAGTTGGTAGGCACAGAGCACACATCCCCAGGACACTCCTAGGAAATGGCCAGGTAAAATCCATCCTCTTGTCATAGCAAAGAAAAGGGGTGCATATATAAAAGCTCTACAGGTCCCTGCAGGTCTCATTCTCTGTGTTGTGTGAGGGGGACATGTGACTATCTTTAGCTCTGTTGCGTTTTTTTGTGTATAATTGTTTATCCTCTGTGTGGAGGATAATTACCCCCTCTGTGTGGAGATGACTCCACTGTCTCTAGGTTCACCAGTCTGCTCCAACCTGGAACAGTGCTCAGGAACATCAGCACGCTGTTTCCAGCCCTTTGAACAGATTCAGCCACAAGCACAGCATTTCCAGTCACGTGGCCTTCCTTTCTTATCAAGATCCTTTTGAAGTTGTTGGGTCATGAGAAGGAAGAATCAGATCCCAATACTGTGCATCACTTTGCATGTACTTTCACACTGCAGTTGGAGTGTTTGTAGCTACACTGAATGCAGATCCAGGCAGTTGTTGGCTCGGGCCCCTGCAAGTTAGTACCATACAGAGGATTTCAAGTTGCCAGATAACATAAAAGCCATGGTGTCCAGTTCTCAAAATAATATCCATGAAAGTAATTTTGAAATTGTATTGTGTTCAAGAAACTAGGGACTCCTACAAATGTTACTGATTTCTCAACCCAAGGCAAGACAATTAGGTAATTGCTTATTTTTCAGCCTTGCCTTCCTAAACAACACATCCCTATTATAACCATCTTCAGAAGTTTTTCCAAGAAAAAAAAATATTTAGTAAACATTTTTCCTCAGCAGGAAACACGAAGCAATCCTAGTAGATTATCATTAATTTGATTTGATTATTGCTATCAGTTTAGTAAATATGGTATTGTTTGACTCCAGAGGAGTGTCAGACACATTGTGACAGCTGCAAAAGCCTCCTGAGCACCACCTGGGATAGTAGGGGGCTAGCAATCTGAATGATGATGTTGAGACTGTTATTAAATATTTACTGAGCCATCAGGACTCCTCAAATCACGATACAAAGCTGTTGTGAGGTATTATTATTCCCACAGGCTATTCATGTTACTCAGTTTTAAGGTTCACCTCCCAAGAGGTAACAGTGATAACAATCACAGCTTTCCAGTCTAAATAATAGAAACCACTTGCTTCCAAAAAAAAATATAATCTTTAAATTGGACCAGACTCCAAGTAGCTACCAAAGCCAGAGACAGAACTATGACACAATTTCCAAAGCAAAACAAAGACAATATAAAGGCAGAAAAAAATCCCCTTTAAACCAGAGAAATTCAAGAAAACTCATACACCACTGAAGCCAGGATTCTGTAAAATCTCAGTAGCTGCCTCTTTCTGTCCTTGATATCTCATGTATCTTTTTCCAAATCAAAATCAGAGAGAATGAAGATTCTTGTTATTTTAGTGAGAGTAGGCCATTTAATCCTGCTCTTCATATCTTCCTTAGGCTGCTCAAAAGCAGCCCAGATTGCTGTATACCAATATGCTTTTTTTTTCTGTTGAATTGCTATAAACAATCCTCTAGTTCTCAAAAATAACTTTAGCTTTTTATTCCCCCTGTGCTCCAGGACTGTTTGAGACAGCTGATGGTGTAGCTGAATATCAGCTTCCATAAACAAACGCTCTGCATCGGAACTGAACTGCACGTAGGCCATCCACACAATCTTTCCACTCTGGCTGCTTCTCCCTGCAGCCACTTGGGGAAGATGTTTTGGCTGGGACTCCACTACAGGTTACTCCACGTCAGACCAACCACCAACCCGAGTGAGGAAAAAGCTGCTGGTTAAACGTCCGTGGTTCTCAGTCAGCACGCCCAGAGCCTCGGACAAGGTGCACCTCTGTTCTCCTCTGAAAAGCATCAGCACTCCCAGGCTGGCCTTCAAAGCCGAGCTCTGTTTCTGGGAGTCTGTGCTGTTCACCTCTCACAGACAGGGAACCTACTGCAGCAATTAAAACTTTCCTGTCTGAGTTTGCTTTTCATATAGTGCAGATGGGACAATAGGCAGGGATTTGCCTTACAATCACCATTTGTATCATTTACTCTGGTTCTTTTCATCCCAGAGAAAGCCTAACCTTTTTCCCATGGAATTTCTCTTAAGTGAGTCACAGAAGTCTGCTGCTGCCCAGGCACTCACAGGAAAAAAGGATTTACATTTTATGTGCGTTTTTAGGAACACTCTTCTGTCACACCATTCATCTCAATGCCTAAATTAGGTCATCCCTTTGCTTTTTTCCCTCTTTGCATTGTAGGGGAAAACAGACGTGATTTATCAGTCCCTCATCATGGAGGAGGCTTGGTCCTGCATTGTCCATCCACTTCTAACTCCATGCAAACCTCAGCCTGGGATTCCCATCATTCTGGGGTTCCATAACCAGAGAGCATGACTGGGCAGAGAAAGGCTTTGACACCTGGGCGATTAAACATTTACAAAACACCTAATTTAGATGATGGGTGGATGAGAGCAAGGAAGCAGCACCTCTCTGTGATGTGGTCTCCCCATAACCCACTGGAAAGAATTTGGCAGCAAGCAAAGATTCAGAAAACAGGTACTAGCAAATACACTTTGTTTCTCCACGCGTGCTGTGGCTAAGGTGCCTGCTCATGAAAAGTCACTGGGGGACAGCACATGTCACTGGAAACAGGACCTGCAGCCCCTCTGACAACACCCTGGTCCTCCCCCCTGTCCCGAGATCCCTCCCCACAGCAGTGCTGCTGGGAACCCTGGGCCTTTTCAGTGGTGAAGAAAACTTCTTTTAAGGCAATTATTCCTGTGAATGCTTTCCAGCCTTCTACAGACTTTAAATGTATGGAATAAATCCTTGGTCTTGCACCACAACTCATTGACGAGTTGCATATGTAAAGTTTTAAACCAAAGCAATCTTTTGCACTTGTGATCTACTCCATTCATTACCATGGAACTGATAGGACTTGGAAGAAACTTAGTTACTGCTCCACAGTCACAGAAATCTCCAATAAACAGGGCAATGTCTAACTAAATCTAATATAACAATCAATTCATGTACCTTATTTAGAAAATTCCATCATATATGAAAATATAAAAACCTTATGCACAAAATCGCTAGATTAACAGGAGCATCTTCACCATTCTTTGTGGCTTCTTTTCTTTCTTCTTTTGGGAGAAAAAAATTATAGTTCTTATATCTTAACATGAGAAGAGACACTTAATCAGGTGTTCTGACCAGAATGGCACGCTCACTGCATTCCTCTTACATGCACTCATATTACAGCCAAAAAAGAACATGCATTAGATTGAAACATTTTGGTCCTCAGCAGAGTAAACTGTTGATGCCATTCTGACAACCATCAGCTATTGGTGGAATTGCTGTGGGAGTTTGTAAGAAGGCATTTGCAAATGCTTTATCAATACAAATTTACCTCAGCAGCAAAAGGACAGACAGCATCAGTTGCAGGCTGCGTGGACAAGCCTTGTTCTTCCTCCTAGACCAACAAAAAAACCTCAAATCAATATGAATTGCAGGAAGATAGCTCAGGAGCTATCTGGGGCAGAAGGTAATGGTCTCAGGGGAGCAATGAAGTTTCAAGAATTGCAATAGTTTTACAATTTTTACCTGTAATCTGGCAGCACCAAAGCACATCTCCAGGAAAGCCCTCATCATGCTCTCTTATCCAGTCGCTCCAGGCTGTGGTTTGATTATGCTGATATTTTTAGCTCCCCTCCTCTTGCTTTTTCCCCACTGTCAGCAGCTATAATTGCATTTCTAAATGGTCAAATTCTAATCATAAATGTGCATTAACCAAGAATCACCTTATCTGTACCTGGATAGGAATCCAGCTCTGGTTGGATCTGAGCTGAGATGCAGGGATTACGTGGTGTTAGGTGCCCTCTGCACCAGGTAGCTGATTGCCTTTGACTTTGCAGAGCTGTAGCTCAAAGGATTTGGAAGTCAAACATATTTTGTAGATGTTTACACCTCATTACATCTTTCTGAAAAGATAAAAACTTGACTTGTGCATACTTCTGTCTGCAAATGTGGCTTGAGTTTATCTGATAGTGAAAGCTTTTGCTAAATTTCACCGCATAATTACTGAAGTGCAAATCTCCAGGAAAAACAATTTGCTGTGAAGATTTCATATTTGCAGCTTAAGAGGCACTGATTAGTTGCTGTTTTACTCTGGCACCACATTGCAGTAGCTTCCTTAGAGCATACATAACCACCGACGTTTTTAAAATTTATTTTCCATTCCTTTTCTTCAATATGCACTTTTGCACAAATATTTCCTTCAGCTAAACTTATTGGTTAAAAAGTTGAACACCATAAATGAAGCACAAACAATGCTCATAAATTTAGTTGATTTATTCAACAGGGATTTTACCTTTCTCTGTCTTGCACTCTTCTCTACTATTGCAACATTAACTAAATAGTATTTTTCTTTTTTTTTTTTTTCCTTCCCATATTTTCTGCAACACAGAGGTACATTCTTGTTCATTTCAATGGCTGGCTTTAGTTCTTGGTGCATTTTAATACTAGCTTACTACCTCTCATAGCCTTTCCAGAGTTTGTCCAGTGGAAAGGAGAGGGCACAGTGAGTCCTTGTCTGTGCTGAACAGCTTTGCTTGTATTTCTTTTCTGTCCCCATCTGGCAACAAGCAGAATATGGACACAAACAGAGTGTCAGCAAGCTCAGCCTCAGTCTGCTGAAAGACCTGTATTTTCCAGGAGCCACAAATTCTCTCCTTAGAAAAATGAGACATCTGCCAACACAACAAAGCAGTGTGCCTTGGTTCCATTGTACACCCATAGCCAGTGGGATTAAAAACAATTTTATGCCAGTTAGAAAACAGGACTGGCTGCACGAGTAGAAAAAGACAGGGTTTAGGTGCTCATGTGTAGGTCTTTGGCAAACATACACAGCCCTTAAAGTATCAGGATTGATTTTGTTCAAATTCCCAAGGGCAAGTGTTGTTCCTTGTAATACCAAACGCTGGAGAGAGCCACAGTGAGACAGAACCCGAGCTGGGGTTGGGAAAGATTCCTAAATAACTGAAGGAGCACCTTACAGCCTGTACAGACTGCTGGAGAGAGTTCCTCAGTGATGTGTATGACAACTCAGTTGTACAGCAGGGTACACAAAGTGGACCAGCACAGAGCAGTGCTTGGGCAAGGTCAGATACCTTGGGAAGCTGTGCTGTTCAAACTGTGCCAAAAAAAATCCCAGCACTCAGGAGGAACTGTACACCTACACAAGAGGGACTATACTTCAGAGCAGGAACGTGCAGCCAGAACCTGTTACAAAACACGACTGCACTGAGGTGCAGGTCACACATAACACCAGCAAAGCACTGCTGTCAGCCACCAAGTCAAGGCAGACCCAAACTCCTTAGTGTCTTCAGGGTCAACACGTAGAACTGGGTCATTTAAATTAGCAAGTTACCTTTTGTTTATACTTCTCCTCCTATGAATAGCTTTAATTACAGCCTTCACCACAAAACTCAGCCTCGCTGGTTTGTTCAGGAGTTTCCATACGGCATTTGCTGCCCACTGCTCCCTCCTGGGGCCCTGTGCCCCCTTCACTGCACCACCCCAGTGCCAGCACCACCCCAGTGCCAGCACCACCCCAGTGCCAGCACCACCCTGCCAGTGCTGACTCCAGCTCCACAGGCAGTGCCATGGCAGCGCTGCAGTACTGGAACACTTACCTCTGGAATACACATCTGTCCATGCTCCTTGAAGCTGTGATGTAGGGCTGCACAGGAATTTTCCCGTTGCTGAACATCTCTGTGCCGCTCCCTCCCTGCAGCACGTGAATCAAGGAAGAAGAGGCTCCCAGCCAGAAGGCAGCAGGACCATCAGCACCTGCACTGCACTAGCTCACCCTCCCTTCTCTGCTTCCAGGGTCCTGGTGTGTACGGGACCAGGGCAGGCTCCCCTCTGTGCTGCTCAGCTTCCCACCCGTGTCTGCGTGTCTGCTCGGTAAAAGGCGAGCAACAAAGGAGAAACACTGACTTCCTCAGATGCCACCAGCTGCCCGGGTTCAGTAACTAGGTCAGCTAAAGGTTAAACCAGCTGAGGCATGAGCAGCAAGTTTAAATTTAACAGAGAAAAAAAAAAAAAAAAAGAGCCAAAACACAACCAAACCCTGGGGGGAAACCTGGAGCAGATTCCTGAGCCTGCCTGGCACAGGTCTCCTGTCCCTCTCCTCCACTGCCCTGCAGCACGGTCCTGTCTCAGGTCTAGGGGGCTAAATGCACCTCAGACATAAAGCAGTGACACTAAAGCAGCAATGAAATCAGCCTGTTTGCTTTGATGTACCCTGCTGTGATATATTAACAACTTTTTGCTTTCAGTAGTAAATTCTGTCAGAAATCACAGTCCAATTCCAAATTATACCATCTCCCAAGCCTAATGCAAGTTTAAGGACATTACACAGTATTTTGTCTAAGTATTATTCTAAATCAATCATGGTTCAACATACTTTCATGCACAGTTTTGTAATTTTCCTAGTGGTGCATAATTGCATCTGAAGCTCAGGATTTTGCTGCTTGGGTGGGAAAGACAGATCGAGCTTTCCACACTCATGTAGGGAATACATACTTTGGAGATAGTGTAATCTGAAATTCTTCCACTAAGAAAATCAGAATGACATCTAAGCAAACCGCCTGTGGATCTCACTGCCAGGTTTTAAGCAGTGAAAAATTAATTTCTGTGCTAACACTGCCACCCATCGAAAAATAGGAGACACAGTCATTCTATATCCCCATTCTCATCTCTTCTCCCTCTTTGGTGTGCTGCAGTGCTCTCGTGTATCCTTAATCATCACTGCTGTCTTTAGTAACAGTGTCGTTAATAAAGCATTATCAGGAAAAAAATGTAAATAAACTGGAACCAAGGGATAGGTCAAATGTACCTATAGAACAGAAGATAAATTCTCTCCAGAACAAAACCAGGAATGTATGGAAGTCTCCCTGTGAATGGTGACAGGGAGCCCTAGAGCAATCTGATCAGTACATAAGCACATATAAGCATAAGCACATATATAATGAAAGAACACATAAAGCCCTGTATTGTCCACTAGCTGGGCTCTTCCATCCACCCTGAGAGAGCTTTTTTCTTCATTATTTTCTCCCTCTGACCTCTTGCTGTTTTCTGTGTCACTCTTACACCTTTTTTATCTCCTGTCTCGCTGATTTTAAGATCAAGTCACATAATTGCTTCTTGCTTGACGTGGCTTCTTCATCCTGTGGTGCAGTGGTGGTTTCCCCTCCATGCAACCTGCACCTGTTTCCTTGCCCTGATCATAAGAGGTTCCCTTACCTGCAAGTTCCTCTGGTTCCACAGCTTCCTCCCTGCATCATGCTTTTACCTTCACCATTTACCAGTTTTGTAAGCATTCCTGTCACAAATTATAGCTATCCATATCATCCAATGCCCATTAGTAGTCAAACACTTCAGCCATGCTATTTTTCAATAAATTCCCTTGAACAAAGATTTGATTTTCTTTATTATCACTCATATTTCCAATGAGTTACCCCTGCACCTACAGTAAATGAGCTAAATTCAGTTTAGGAAGAACAGCTGCTTTCTCCTTCCCTGACTCACCTTTTTTGTGCAGTCTTGCTCCCACTCTCAGCTTCTGGTCAAAGTTATTCTTGTTAGTAAAACCATCATGAAGTATGTGAGGGTTGTAAGGGCTGCCCTTGGGTCAACAAAAGCACCCAAGGAGACCTTATGATGATCATTACAAATATGAATTAAAATGTTCTAAAAAGACCAACTATTGTAAAATGCACTTTAAAACAATGCTCCTTCTCTTTCTCATTGAGCAAGATTATTCTCTCGTCCTCAATCAGCAAAAAGCCAATCTTGATTATGACTAAAGGAGTAAATTACTTTTTTTTGTTTGCACTTATAATTTTGGTTTCTGGGAATCAGAATTAACTATGCTTTTTTACTGAGAAACATCATATAAATTAAATTGTCTTTCTGTGCTATATAGACCCTGGGGTTTCATTAAGTGACTGCATCTCCTGCTCAGCTGGAAAGTAAAAACTTACAGGGGTGATACAGATGGAAAGTTCATTAACCAAACTACAGAAATCCATCTGCAAATCTCACTCTGTAAAGGTTTTATGTAACAGCTCCATCTCACTGAGATGCTACTGAATAACAGGCAGCATGCTGAAAGTCTTCTAATGCTGGATTTATGGATGGGGAGTAAATCACTCTATTGCTTATAGCCTGATGGATGAAGAGTGGAGCATTCTAGTCTGGTGATTTATTAAATATGGGTGCTGTTATGGGTTCTTTCAAAATGAAGAAAAGACGGCTCAAAGAATTATTTATTCTGCATTTAGCACAATCAGTTTCAGAAATGAGAAAGTCTCCAGAAGTTCTTGTAAAATTTAAGGATTAAGCATTTTTCAATTAAATAGCAATAGAAAAAAAAATAAGAGTATTAAGGGGATAAGATACTGTTTGTTTAACTAAAGAGTTACCCATTGATAGTTTTAGTTAGGACTTCCCATGCAATACTTTTACCTTCATAAGAGACTGTGAACTGTTTCACAAGACAAAAGTTTATGAGGTGTGTGACCAGTATCAGTTATCCAGTTACTCAACCAATGGAAAGTTCCTCTGGTTCAATGCTCTCTCTGTCCCTTTATGATCTGAGGCTGCAGAACTTCTTTCCTCTTCTTACCACAATTCTGGCAAATCTAGGATGCTTAGCTTCCACTTCTTAGTCCTCAGCTGGAGTAAGAACATACTTGTTCTCTTGGGCTATCTAATTCTTCACCTTATTTACTAATTTTCCTAAATATGTGGTAAAGGAACAAGCTGGAGTAATTTGACCACTAGACTCGAGCAGCATAAAATCCAAAAATCGAAATGGCAACAGCACAACTTCATTGTTGGGTTTCACTGTGTTTGAGAAACCTGTTTTAAGCACAGATATCTTTGCTTTGATTGTACTTCACAGAATTGTTACTGTCTGCAAATTGAAACTCGCCTTAAGATGTGAGAGTTGAAAGATTTTTTTCCTCCACATCTTGACCTGAAGTTGATCATTCTTAACCATTTGCTTTCTCACATTCTTCCCTTACTGCTCTACAGAGATGTATGGGAATTTTTCTTTGTAATTTTGTATGCAAGATTGTTGAGACAATGGTGTTTCCAGATCTTATGCTGAGTATCTAAGAACAACATTTGAACAAAAAAATTTTAATTACTTGTGGGAATAAAAATACAGTCTCCTGGTTATGCTGTATTAGCCCAAGCTCCTAATACCTTACTTAAATTTGCATACACACCCCAGTTGATTGTCAGTGGATGAATTTATGATGCCAAGATCCTTTTTACCACGGGCAAAGGGATCCCTGTTTTGCTTACTTGCAAAATATTATTCCATCCTGTTGTCAAACAGCCACAGACCTCATTCCAATGCAAACTAAATTTAAACTCTATGCAGCACTCGCCATGGAAGCAAACAGGTATTTTCAAGTATCTCCAAACCAATCTTTACGGAATATTTATTTGAGGAACTCTGCTCCCTGCTGGAGTCAGCTCTCCAGTGTGCTTGAGCCTGGGCCTTCAGAGCTCCAGGCAGGACTAGAGTTGTGTCACCCCTTGCAGGGCTGATAAAGGTGCACTTACCCATGAGAATCCCTAGAGGACAGGGCTGGTCCTGGCTCTTTTACTCTGGTTTCTAACATAAGTAGCTTCTATGCCTTACTCAAGCAATCACAGACTTCTAGAAGAGTTTAGTAACATTGAATTTCTGATATCTCCTTAACAGCTGGTTATTAAAGCACACTTTTTTTTCAAAATAATAATAATAAATTAATTCCCTAAGAATAGTGCTGATGAACCAAAAATGCACCTCCAGCAATTCCACATACAAGGAGCTTTAGACCCAGAAGCTAACTTTTAAAAGGCACAATATACAATTTTAAAGGCTTTCAGAACAGTCTGAACTGTTGTCTCCAGTTTGTACAATTCTTCCAGCATCAAGGTACACAGCAGCAATGGCACTTCTCTTTTCCTCTGCTTTCTGACTGATCAGGAACAATCAGTAAATTTAAAATATTGGACTAAAAGAATCTTGAGCAGAACTAGAGTACAACTGAAACTCCTGTCAAGGTCCTCTCCCCATAGCTGGGTTCCAAGAACTGTTCTGTGTACATGCCTGTATGCTGGGGTAAGAAAGAGAAACTTTATCCATTGCTTGGACATGTAAACAAAGCTGTAAATGCTAAGAAACAGACTTGCTATCCCACGTGTCTGCTTTTGAAGTGAATTCTTCTGTTTATTTTTCCTGCACCCTCACACCAACAGGCAGACTTAAAATCCATGAAAACAATGGAATGAATGAGGAGGAAAGATAAGTGGAGAAACTGAGGAGTAACTAACTAGTTTTTCCTTGCCTCAGGACACACTCATGCACAAAGCAATTACTAAAGGATTATTAAACAGAAGCAAATATGGACATTTATATTCCCTGTCTCCTCTAAACTTCCATCACTGAAAATATGAACTTTAAGTTTCAAAACAACCAAAATGAGGAAACACTTAGGAGTCACCCTTGACAACACATTTATCACCAGATGTGGTGGGCTGACCTTGGCTGGATGCCAGCTGCCCACCAAGCCACTCCATCACTCCCCCTTCCCAGCTGCACAGGGGACAGAAAGTAAGATGGAAGAGCATTCACGGGTTGAGATAAGCCAGTTTACTAAAGCAAAAGGGAAAGCTTGTGAGTGCACAAAGAGTAAAATAAAATACCCTTATTCTTCTACTTCTCTTCTTCTTTCTTCTACAGCAAGAGATGTCTGGCCACCTCCTGGCAAGCAGGGCTTCAGCACATGTAGCAGTTGCTCCAGAAGGCAAACATTAATGCCCCTGCTTCCTCCTCCTCCTTTTCTTAGCTTTTATATCTGAGCTGACATCATATGGTGTGAAATACCCCTCTGGTCAGCTTGGGTCAGCTCCCAGCCTTCTGATGGGGGTGGGATGCTGAGAGACAGCACTGGTGCCGTGCCAGCTCTGCTCAGCAGCAGCCAAAACACTGGTGTGTAATCAACACCTCTCCAGCTACCAACACAAAGCACAGCACTGGGAGGGCAGCTGTGGCAAAACGAAGCCAGACCCAATACACCAAATTAATACAATTTTACTCTGATTTCAGATAGTTCTTTTCACATCCATGACATTGTTTTGAACGTATATATTTGGATAAGAAGTTGAAAACTACAGAATGTGAACACCAAGGCAAAAATACCAAAGGACACACAGGAAAAGATCAGCATCTCTTTTTTAGGTTCACTAATAACATTAATATTGAATACAGAAGTAGTCCTCTTTTTCAGGAATCAAAGTATTACTATAAGTAGTTAGAAATAACACCTATAAGTAGTTACTTTACAATTTCAAATCTCTTGGGAATAAAAAGGTTGCCATATATTTCTATAAATCATAGTATTCATCTGTGCAGATAAAGGCTTCCTATTTCAATATTACAAAGTATTTCATCAGAGAACCAAAAAAAACCCAAGAAAAACAGGATAATAAAGCTTTTCCGTTATAGAAATGTAACCGTAATATGTACACTTCTCACATTCTTACTGGACCTCTGCAGTTCACATTCTTACTGGAGCTCTGCAGTTCCCTGGGAAGCTGGGAGATCCATGTTCTTCTTTCTTCTATAAAAACTTCCAGATTTCATCACCAAACTCCCGATTGCTGTTTCCTATCAGCACCATGCTCAAAAAACATGAAGTCCTTAGGGGGTAAAAAAAAGCAAACAAACAAATACTTAATGTGGTTCTTATTTAAGAAGTCTCCTGGCTGCTTTGCAAGGTTCTGTTTGGTTCTTGCTGCTGCAAGGTTCTTTGCAAGGTGGGGGGCTGTTGCCATGCCCCAACACTTGGGTCTCTCAGAACGGGACACCCCCAGAGAGAGATGGTGAAAGACCAACAGGGAAACTTTGCATTTATCACTAGCCAAAGCTATGATTCCTTTGCTCAGGATGCCTGCCCTGGCTTTGTTCAACCTGACTCAGTCCCTTCCATTCTCCCTCAAACTGGATTCATTGTAATAATGATTATCTGTGAGTTTACACGTGGGGATCCCATTTTCTGTGCTTGGAGTCCTGCGTTGCTCACACTCACCAAGGCTGTGCTTGATGCACAGGAACACACCCAGCTAAACAAAGCCTGGCTCGTGCACAGGGCTGTTGGAGGCTGGGGAGACCTTCCCAAACTCCAGTGCTTCACATGCCCTTTCCTCCCCCCTGCAGCCCTGCAGCACAGCAGCAGGGCACGTTTTGCAAGTGTACTGATGCAGAACTGCACCCACGGGTAAGTGGAAACACAAGTGTGCTGCACACTGTTTTCAAAGAGCAAAGTGCACTGCAATACTGACATAGTAGAGTCTGAGTGCAGCTGAGAGGTGCTTTAACAGGTTCAATGTGCTCAGCCTCCACAGCAGCCCCTCCATTCGGAAATTACTCCTCTGAGAGCATTTAGTCCTGCTCAGCTCAGTGCTTCACACACTCCCAAGGAGAGCCAGGATGAACTGGCTGCAGCATTCAGCTGTCCACCAGCTCAGGATCAAACCCTTCACCAGCACAGTTTGAACATGAAGATCAAAAAGTTAGTTCCTATTCAAACATTAGGGAACAACAGACTTACAATGAGGAAGCAAGCTCCAATCATGACAGCTTTCATTTTCACATCAAGGTCCATTGGGAATGCGATTCCAAAGTTATCTGCATCTGTAAAGGCTTCTTTCACAAACCCAGTCCAATGCTTAGAAATCCTCCCAACAGTACAGGTCTCATCCACAGACTTCACCTGGTTTAATATAAAATTAAAACAACATCGTGAAATCTGTCATTCATAATATTCCCAAACCCATTTCAGGGCAGGTCCATTTGAAAGCTTCAGACTATGTTATGTGAATTAATGTAATTACTGAGTGCAAGTGTTTGTACCAAAAGGCAATCAGACTATCAGAAAGTCATTCTTTAGTAGCACAGTAACCACACACACACTTTCTCCTGGAAGCGTTGTCTTTTAGCCAAGAGAGCGAATTATTTCCTCCTGCCATGTATCAGGAACAAATGAAAATTAAACAAACTACATTACTCTGTTCCAAAGCAGAGATTAGCCCTTTGTCAACATTACATTTCCTGAAGTTGGGTCCAGTCTTCTGGGTCATGTGAAAGACTAGTCTCCAAAATAAAATCATACTAAATTTGATCCAGTAACTCTTTGCAACATTATTTTAAATATTAAATGGTAAACTAATACATCTACTACTTAATGTGCATTAGTCACTACTAATTTAAAGTGAAAGTTGCAACTCCTCAGTCATTCAACTCTATATTTTAGGTCTAAATTATCTTAATTTATTAGTTCATTGAATGATTATTAACTTATTAAATAAGTGATTGTTGAAAGTCATTTCAATAAATACCTAATACAGCTGAGAATAAAATATTATGTTAGGGCCTAACATAATAGATTCAAAAAGACTTTGCTCCTCAATTTTTTAATTAACTAATCTGTGTGCAGCCACAGGGAATTATTTTCACTGATCACAAATGAGTGACTTTAAGATGTAATTTCTAGCATTTCGTCTGTTTTATCTAGAGTAATTTAGATATCTAGAGAAGTGAGTTGATTATACCAGCATTAAAAGACTATGTACTAATTACTTAATATATTACCTGTCATCAGAACTGTAGTTTAAGTTGAGCCACAAACTATCAAGCTACTATCTGAAAACACATACGTGCAACCCATTTTTAGCATTGCATACCTCAAAATTAACATCCTCACAACAGCTGCAGACAACACAGGGGCCGGTAATTTTCAGTATATCCATTCCTTTCTCATCTTGAATGGTAAACTTTGGCAGGCAGGGATGCCAGTTCTGGACAACATAACCAACTGTTGTTCCTGGAGGCGCCTGCACTTCCATCTTTGCAGGAAAGAGAAAAGCTTCAGGTGAGCGTTCATGCTTGTGAGACAAAACCCCCAACAGCACACAAAGAAACAAAAACTTATTTTTCCACTGCAACCTGGCCTTTCAGTGCATGAGCTGCATGGAATTTTCTGCACTCAGACTGCAGACCTCAAATGCAACTTCTGCCTTCAAGAAAGGCCACTCCTCAGACTATGGAGTGCACAAGCTATGCATCTACAGCATGAAGATCAAAGTCCAGTGAAGGAAAGGCAGTAAATGAAGTCATTATAGGGTGCAGCTACTACAAACCCCTGAGTAAGAGTTCTAAGTAGGTTCAGATTTAAAGTTGCAGAAGTTGAATCATCCCAGAATGATGTTATTATTAAAAAAACTCACGATCTCGTGAACTGAATTTCACTATAGCTTTCACAGCTGTAAAATGAAAACTCTGGCTATTATTTTATGAAAGCCATTGCCTTACTCTTCCATTCCAAGTCCACCTCCAGTGAAGATCTCAGCACTAGCCACAAGTTCCCTGACATGCTGTTCAATCACATTTTCCATTCCCATAATTGGAAATGTCCAGCATGAGTCCCAGTGTTACAGTACCCTTCCTTCTTCCCAGACTAAGAATCCCATGCGTAAATCCCACGGATCTCTCCACAAGGTACAGGCAAAACCTGGCTTGTTTCACATCACCTCCTGATTCAAGACCACCTCATCTTAAAACTGCACAGCAGGTCCACGTGCCATCTGAGGATGAGAGGCAGCAACTCACCTCCTGCAAACAGCAGGGGAAGCAGCAGGAGGAGCAGCGCAGAGGCCTCTGCAGGGTTATCACCTCACGGCCCAGGTTGTCGATGATGCGGAGGGTGAAGGAGCGCGAGGGCCCACAGAACATCCTGGTGCAGCAGTCAGTGTCCTCTGCTGCGAAGTACACCCTCTGCCCCAGCGCGTTCTTGAGCTCGTACTTGTTGTTTGTTTCAAAGCCAGTCAAAACTGAAACACAGGAAAGGAACTGTAACATTTCTGGGGTGTGCCTGGTCAGAAATCTCTCCCTGCCAATTCCACAGCTCCCCTTTGGGAAGTCCTTCAGAGGCAGCTGCTGGCAAAGGGCAATGGCAGGAAAGGACCCTCAGGCAGAGAAGGCTGATGAAGGAGTTCAGAGAGAAGTTACCGTGAACAAGGACAAGCAGAAAGAGCACAGAGATTTCCACCAGTCCCCATTCCCACCCCACCAGACCTGGACACCTGCTGGCAGAGCAAGCACCACAGCTATCAACAACAACATGGAAGGTTCTCAGGGAAGAGCTGAACAGATGAGAAGTAAAAGCACTCATGAATCTGGGGGTGAAGCCAGAAAAGGGCACAAACACATTCAGAATGAGAAGGCCACTAAAAAGCCTCGCAGTCAAGATTCACAGCAGCATACATTGAAAGCAACAAGAGCCAGGACAGAATTTTTAATTAATTTCTACAACAAATGAAAACACTCTTTTAAGTTTTATAGAAAGAAAATACAGTAACATTATGTGTCAGCTGAGATGTATGGTCCATTTTATTTCTTCTATTTGAAAGACACTGATAACATGACTTTGATGTTCTTAAAGTGAATGGAATGAGGGGAACAGAAGAAAAGCCATTCAGTTTGCTAAAACAGCAGCATTGCCTGCAAACAGGATCAAAGCCACATGCCAGTCTGTGGAACTAGGTGGGATATGACAGAAAAAGTCTTAAAGTAGGGAAGAGAGGAGAGTAGAAATTGTAGAGCAGAGAGTAGAAACTGTGAATTAATAACTAGATATGTATGACCTTGTCTATAACTAGCTACCAGGATTATTCAGTTTCACTGCTGTGTAGAACCTGCTTAAAATCCTCCTCCCTCTTAATTTCTCCTTCCTCTTCTCCATAACTTCTGCAGGAATTGAGACAGGTTACTAGAGGCAGGAAAGAGAAAGGTGATGATCCACCTTAAACACATAGCATTAAAGGAAGTTCTTGGGATTATTAGATTTAAATACTTTGTACTTACTCTCAAGAAGTTCAATTTGCTGATGAATTAGTATCTGGTCAATCTGTCCATGGTTCAAAAATTAAACAGAATAAATAGTTAACAAGTTGTAGCTAAGAGAAATGTAGTTTTAAGAGACATTGCTGTTTCATTTCAGAATGAAAATTTGTGGATCAATACACTGTATAGAGGCAGATTATCTACCAATAAAGCTGTGGGAGTAGCTCACACCCCATCCTTGTACTGTATTTTACAGCACAAGGACATACTCTGTAACCTGGAAACAATTTTGCTGTTAGCATTCTCTATGCTGTGAAGTGTGGCTAGCACCTCTCCTAACAACATTATGAGGTGGTGTGAAGAAAGCGTCATGTAGAAAATTAAGCACCTCTAACGTTCTCCAGTTGCCCATATTACAGATATTTGTTCTATACACCTTCCCAAACCACGTTCCCCCTCACAAACAGCAGCCTCAGCAATGGGAAGGATGCAGGGTAGCCCTGTGCCCCTCTCCCTTTAGCATCTTGGACAGGTGCTAGAGGGGTCACAGGCACCTCCTCCCTCAGACACACCCCTGAGGCTTCACCCAGCAGCCCAAACGCAGCAACCCCACGGCTGCCACACAGCCAGCTGCTTTAGTTAGCTTTTCCATGCATGCAGGCTGCTTCCCAGGTGAATTCCCGACCTCTGGAAGGAGGAAAGGTGCAGGTACCTGTGTGAGGTATTCCAGTCCAGGAGGGCAGTTGGGAATAGAAGGAGGGACAGGCATCCAAATTGTCCCCCCATGCATGACCGGCTGATTCTGGACAGGTGGAACAGCAGGTCCGCCTGGGAATCCCATGTACTGGGCTTGGAAGCCATAGTTCTCTGCACCTGAGACATTTGGCATGGTAGGACAGAGAGAGTTATGAAAATTAGATACTGGAAAAGAATTGCCCCATTGATCTTCAAAAGATTAATTAGGTCACTGTTTTGAACTGTGGAGAGCCTTATACCTTCTATATTTCAATTATGAATACGACAACCTTCATGAAGGAAGTTACACTGGACTGGGAGGTTCTAATGCCTCAGAAGAAAACCCAAACAAAATAAATAAATGCAGCATTCTTGAATATAGCAGAAATTTCATTCACATAAAGATAGAAAATTCAAAAATTAGAAAAAAATTAAAGCATGTTATTTCTAAGTAGAGAAAACAGAAAGCTTTGATTTCCAAGAAAAGCACTGGTATTTACAAGTTGTCAGTTGAGTAAATGAGTAACTTTAAGGTAAAATTTTCCTGAAATTATACCTTCTACTTATGGGATAGCAAATGCCCTTTTACCAAAGATCATCTGTAGTTTTCAAAACCAGATGACTGTGACCTAAAAACTGCACTTTCCCACTTGTTTAATGGTTTCTCTGTCAAAACCCCAAAAATGCACAACTCCTTCACAGAGGAAGTGCACAGTAAAGGAGGAAAGAGTTCCACGTTTTGGGAATGTATGTCAATAAAGTCTCCAGTTGGTGCTGAACAGAAAACACGAGCTGCCAGGGAGCTCTGCAGGGTGTGAGTGCTCAGCAGCCCAGCAGATGGCACGGGCAGCACTGCCCATCCCTTGTCCCCTGTCACAGCCCTGCCCTCCTCCCACCACCACCCCTGAAGCTGCACAAGTTGATAGTGAAAGTTACAGAACAGCAACTGTGGTTTCTCCCTCATTTGACACCTTCCTGGTAGGCAGACAGGCTTCCAGTCTTACACAGAGGAGTTTATATTTTACTTAGGAGTGAGCATAAAATGCAGAAGGCACACAGAGTATTTTATACTGACTTGTAGACTCATCTTTAGTGCACACCAGCCCAGCACCAGATTTCACATTATGTTACTATACATGGACTGTCACATGTGAAAGATCAGGCCAGCAAGCAGCTGTGGCTTAACATTCATAGGTGGCCAGCTCACCCCAAAGAACCCACCCTTTGGAAATACAAAATCACTTTTATGTCTGAGGCTTTACACATAAACTATCTACTGCTGTTGTGTGCAAGTGTGTGCACGTACAATCATTCAAAATAAAAGTGCTCCCATGGCCTTCATGGCAGGGGCAGGGAATGCTCACTCCTTGCTGAAGCCAGCTGTACTTACAGACCTCAGACTGCCTTGTTGCAACACACACAAGCTTTAATTTACAAACAGCACAGCACCTCAGGCCAAACATTTTGCATTTTATCTGCAACTTGTGCTTTGAGCCTGATTGTGAGATACTGCACACTGTGAGCTGGTGCCTCAGAAAGCAATCATTGGCAGAACAAGAGAAGCTGTTTAGGAGTGCTGCATTTTGAATGCAGAACAGAAAATAAGAAAGAAGAGGAGAAAAGCAAGTGAGGGAAGTGTAAAATATAACCACGTGCCAAGTACAGCAGCAGAGCAAGAAAGGGGAACAGAATACATGGACCAGCAGAACTGCAGGAGGAAAACAACCTTCTTCAGTTCTGGATTTCTTGAGAAAAATAAAATACTGAAAGAACAATTTAAAAATCTGATCATCAGTAAGAAGCTGCCACACATTAATTGCTTTGCATCAGTTAACCTCCCTAGCAGTGAGGTTTGCATCAAAAACGCCTCCCTAGCAAACTCCACTCAGTGACCACAGAATATCTGACATTTTTAACTCCTACCGCTGTTGGCACTGCTCAGCACATACTCAAAAAGGAGAGAAATTACTTTCTAGCAAAGCAGAAATTAAGAGAAACTTTATAGAATGAATATCAATGAAGTAAATTGGAGATGATCACACTTGTACAACCCCTATTCCCCATGGTTATTTCCTAATAGTATTGCAGGTCTGTCACCAAGCAACCTACCTTGGTAAGTCCCAGGGACAGGCTGAGGGGGGCCATAGGGGACTCCAGGTGCTGGGGCAGGTTGAGGTCCTGGAAGAATGGAACATACTCTCTGAGCATTGATCTTTTCCTCCTCTCCTAGGGTGAGAGACCCCCAACACTGCCTCCTTTTCCAGAGCACACACATAAATTAGGCAGCTGTTTTCTGGATAGCCAAAACTGTACATCAGGCTCATACTTATGAACAGTGTGTATGTTAAATATCAGTATAACTTAAAGGAGTTCTGGTCCTTAAAGCTCAGAAAAAAGGGCAGGCATTGCCCATGATGAATGGGCATGAATGTGTCACGGAATCATTTGGCTCAAAATGAACCTCCTGTGATCACCTCATCCAAGCCCTGCTCAGGCAGGATCAGTTCACTCTGTCTGGACCAGGGGTGCCTTTGTTCACTGGTATTTAGAAGGCAGCTTTAAATCCAAGCATTGCCAGGAAAGTGCCAGGCTGCCCTCCAGTACAGAACACGGAAATGAGCCACTCCCCTCTGTGCAAAACATCTTCTCCCAACTCCTTCAAGTTCAGACTGTACTACTGCCTCACCAGCAGACTGGGAGGACTGTGAATTAAAAAACATTTACCGACCTCAGTTTTTAAGCAGAAATAGATTAAACTTTAAGACTACTTATTTATCATTTTTATTTCACTTCAGAAATCAAGAACTGAAAATGTAAGCTCCATGTTTTGTAAAATATTCCAATTTAACCCTTTCATATGTATTTCATATAATTAGAAGGTAAACTAATAGCTAAGTTAATATTGCTTGAACACCTTGGAAGGACCCATGCTATCTTTGATGTTAATCAAAAGATGACATTTTGTTTGTATTTTACTCACCTTGCATCGCCGTGGATTTGCTTACAGTTGTTCTGCAAAAGAACATTTTTATTTAATGATGTTTTTAATATGCAATTTCACAAAAGAGTTACTCAGAGTTCTCTGTTTACTATTGATAAAAGATATTTGCCTGTCTAAACCGTATGGGAAAGCTAAAAGGTAAAATAACCTTAAATGTCTCAGCTTCCTTCTAAGCTATGTCTCCACCACCACATAAATCTGAATTATCTATGCCTGCATTCATGCTTTGAGTGTCCTGAAAACATCCCCAACTCAGAGGAGAGCACTGGGATGTGCAGGACTCCAGAGTGCAGCCATTCAGAAACACCAAGCAATTCATATGAACAAATTGGTACAGCAATTTCAGAGCAGCTGGGTCAGTGCACTGATGCTGGCTACAAAACCTGCTGGGTAAATTTGGGAGCAGCTACCCCCATCCAGTTTCCTAAGCTGTTCCTGGAGTGGTACTACTGCACAACACCCACTCATTTCCACCCTCCCAAGGTAAGAAAGGCAGGCTCACACAGGGGAGTCAGCTAAGCAGAACACCATGAGTGAAAGCGCCAACTGCTTGTCTTTTTCCTTCTACTCTTCCACGTTGCCAAAGGAATTAAAACAAAAACAAACCAACAAACAAAAACCAAAACCACAAACAAACAAACACACAACTCCCTCCCCCCCCAAAAAAAAAAACTAGAAACACACCACACCAGAAAGAACATTTACTGACAGCAGCACTAACCTTGAGAAATACTTCTAAGTCTCGGGGGAGGTCTAAAAAAGAATGGAATAGGCACTCATTTTAAACAGAATCAAAAACTTTAAAAAAAAACCCCACACCTAGTTCCTCTTAAAAAATAATCCAGTTCGATTTAAACTAGGAATGTGTCTTGTCTGTTATGGATCTTGTAACCACTTCAGTTCAAGGAAGATCGTGGTTCAAAGCTGGGAACGAAACTGAAACTGAAAGCAGTTCCTTCCTGTTTTCACTGCCAGAGTAAAAGCAGATGTCAGGGATGTTTATTGGTTCTGGGATGTCATGGAACTACCTCATTTCCCAAAACCTGCACAAAACCCTCTCTTTATTAAATTGCTCTTAAAGCCATCCTTTTTAAAGTATTTTTTTCTTCTATTTACAGTTATACATCTGATTTAAAAATCTGAAAAAAACACATCCAAACTACACAACTCAAACCTTGCTTTCACAGTTTACTCTGTAGAGGGACAAGTTTAATACCATATTAATTACGTTGACAAAGCTACCAGCTTGTAGGAATATCACAAATTCAAGAAGAACAAACAACCTTATTTAAACTAGCAAAAGATCAGTTTATACTGTGAGATGTTCCAGCTACCTGAGCTTCAGTGAAATGCTGAGAATGACAACTAAACTCTTTGGTAAAAGGAAAGACAGAATCATAAGATTTATTTTAAAGAAAGGCTTTATAGTAGTCCAGAACCGTTTATTGTCCCCACAACCACACATATATGCCATTATACAATCTAGGATTTAGAAAATGTTGATCTGCTCTCTAGCTAGAAAAGCAACAAAGATTTTACAAAGCTCAGCCCCCATTTCATCAGACATGATGTTAAAGAGAATAGTTAAGATTATTTTTTTAATTAAAATTGTCTCTGTTCTTCTACTGCCCTTCATCTGGACTTCTATTACCTCCAATTCAGTCATCACACATTGTCAGTCACGCCCTGCTTTTCATCTGGAAAATTTATAAAGATTGTGCAATAACATTAAACTCTGAAACACCACAGACATGAGGAACAAAAGCTCGCTTTTGTCAACCTTTATATTGCACAATATTTTCTTCCAGGTTGTCACATGTGGGAAATTCCGACCTGGTGAAACTTCAGTCAAGAAGCAGCAGTAAGAGGAAGAGTCACTCAGAAAATGTGTTCACAGAGTCATGCAATCTCCTGAGCTACAAGGAACCCACTAGGATCATCAACATCCAGTCAGCCCCAAGAATCAGACCCTGTGCCTGAGAGCATTGTCCAAATGCATTTTGAGCTCTGTCAGGCTTGGTGCTGTGAACACTTCCCTCTTGGTTCCACCTGCCTGGGCTGCACAGAGCAATGAACTCAAGCCTACATTTATAAATATTTATAAAATATTTATATACATATATATATTTATATAAATATTTATATTTAATTTATATTATATTTATACTATATTCATATTTATTATATTATATTATTATACATTTATACATTTATATATAGCTAGGTTATATTAGTTCTAGTAGCAACTTTTAAAGTAAGTATAGAGAACAGTCATTGAAACATTACTTACATAGCAGGGAAAAGTGAAGGTTTTTGCATCTAGCTCCCACTAATACAAATGAGGGTGAATGCTATTTCTTTGCAATGGAGTTAAAATTACATAGAATTAAAAAAAAAAATAAAGTACTTCAGCAAGTAGAAGTCCATTATTGAATTAATTTTAGTTCAACAAAAACAGCAGCTGCATGAATCGCTTGTGCTACACTTGTGACATGCTGCAACATGAATTCACAATACAAATCGGGATTAAGTGTGTTGGAGTGAATAATCTGGCCACGATGTTCCAGAAGAAGCAGTTGTAGATCTTTTTAATACATCTTTTTATAAGGCCTTGAGCAATACCATTCAAAATTTGAATTTAGGCTGCCTTTAAGCAGAGGGATGAAACAACCTCCCAAGTTTATCCTTTTGAATCCAAAGTATGCAAGGATTATAAGGGTCCTTCACATTTTATTACACTACCTGAGGTTTCTGCTAATCAAACATGGACCCAAATCCCACAGCTGAGTGCTGAAGGGCAAGAGGTGGTGGGGACCAGACTCACCCCTCCGCTGGGCCAGGGATGTGCCAGGGAGCCTGTGCTGGGAAAAGCTGTCAAGTTTTGCCCTTTCCTGACAGATTCCCGTAGTAACTCCTATCTGTGGGTCCACTCTCCCAAAGGGAGTACAGATGAGATATAAAAATCTCTCTTCTCTGGAGGAAGGGACATACATTGGTTCGACTTTACAAAAGGGGGAGACAGAAGTGATTTTGGTGCCAGAAAGGAGGCACCGGGGAACTGGTGATGCTTCACAGAAAGTGGCTGCCTGATAATGAGCAGCCCTTCTGAAATACAGCTCCTGGATGGCCCACGGTCCCCCTGCTGCACCTGAGCACTGGGGTCAGGAAAGGTGGGCACTGCCAGATGCCCCTCCTGACACTCACAACCTGAGCCCCACAGCATGGCCTCCAATCTCAACCCCTGGAATGCTGAGAGGAAAGAAATGGCAGAAGAACCACCACCAACCACCCAAACGGTCTTCATATGCCACGTGCAGCCATTCAGCCCTGGGCTGGCACACTGGTAGCAGACTCCACCCTTCATTTGCTGCACTGCTCATGAGAGAAAGGAACTGATACCAACAGGTCTGATTTTTCATACCCTGTCCCTCTGTACTATACTATCTAGAACCCATATTGCCAGCCTTCTTCCACACCTGCAGGAGTTCCCTGACTTTTTGCCTTTGCTCTCAGAAGTAGCAGTCAATTGCTAGGATAGCCTAGACCCTCTCACCCAGCACCAGCACAACCAATTCCTTACAGAGTAACGAAACAACATCCCTAGATAGTTCTTTATTTTTATGAATGGCAGATTGTCCATGTCCCTTTTTCAATCACTTTCTCATTTTCAGAACTACAGTCCACACCCTACTCTGACACACCAGAAGATACACTTCCAGTAATTCAGAGATGTCATAATTACATTAACCACAGAGCTTCCGCTTTTTACCAGGAAAACAGCCCAGTAGCATAACAGGCAGTTTTGTTTCTTATCCAGCTCATTAAAATGCTGCCAAGAGCATACTGACATAAGTCCCCAAGCACAAACATTACATATGGTTCCATTTAAATGCCAAGTCAGGCCCTTTCCAAGGAGGTTTAACATTAAAAAAAGAAAGACCTAGAAAGCCAAATAGCTGTGAGGCATGCATTTGTTCACCCTAGCCAGCTTTGTGGCATTTCTTCGCATCGTCACATTATATTAGACTAGTCAGCCACCTGATTTTAACCTTGACTGCTGGAGAAACAGCATACTTAAAAATCATTCAGCTGATCTAAAGTTAAGAAAATAGTCTTCAGAGAAGGTGCAAATGAAACAAGCTGTAAGTTGACTCAAAATATTTCCGTTCTGATGCTGTAGGGTATCCTCTCCCCTTAGACTGGCATCTCTCCTGAAACCTAGGAGTGCAGACACCTGGCAGCCAAAAAATCAGGTCACACGCAGGGTATCCAGCCTCACTGAGAGGAGGGCACATCTCTACGGCTGCTCACTTCACTGCGGTCAGGAGCACTGCTGCCAGCATCCTCCTCCTGCTGAGCACTGCTGCCAGCATCCTCCTCCTGCTGAGCACTGCTGCCAGCATCCTCCTCCTGCTACTGCTGCTGCTGAGCACTGCTGCCAGCACCCTCCTCCTGCTGAGCACTGCTGCCAGCATCCTCCTCCTGCTGAGCACTGCTGCCAGCATCCTCCTAATGCTGCTGCTGCTGAGCACTGCTGCCAGCACCCTCCTCCTGCTGAGCACTGATGCCAGCACCCTCCTCCTGCTGCTGCTCCCTCGGGCAGGGCTCGCCCAGCACAGCCTGCCCATCAGCAGCTTCCTTTAAACCAGTCTTTCCAAGCGACTTAACTAAAGAGAGCTAAATTCCAGCTTAACGTGCAATCCCCAACCAGAAAATGCGGTCCTTCTCATCGTCAGGCCCTGCTGATCATCAGAGCATCCCCAGAGACGCCTGGAAGGAACCGCGGGCGATAAGGACGCTTAAAGCCCCAGCAAAAGCTACCGTTCCCGGAGGCGAGGCGGAGCTCCTGTGCCGTGCCTGTGCCGTTCCGTGCCTGTGCCGTTCTGTGCCGTTCCGTGCCGTGCCGTCCCCGTCCCCGTTCCCTCCCCGCCTGCGGGGCGGGCGCTGCCGAGGCCGGCGGGGCGGGGAGCGGGTCCCGCTGGCGCTGCGGGAAGCGCAGCCAGCCCTGCCTGCCCGCGGCTTACCCAGCCTCCCTCTGCCTGCCGGTCACTCTTCTCCCATCTCCGCCAGCATCAGTGCCGGCTCCCTGTATTTTCAGTTAATAAGTCGTTAATTTGATTAATTAATCTTTACCGGTTAGTCACAGAATATCAGGTTACACGCAGGTGATAACTCCAAGCTGCATGCCCACCCTTGAAAGGAAAACAAATGATATTTGAAACAATTTTAGCGTGCTTATAAGGCACCATCTCGGCGGGGGGGGGGGGGAATATATATATATGTGGACTTCATAGTGACAGGAACAAGAATAAACAATACTGAATTGTTTGGGAAACAAAGGACTTGGAGAAAGTTGGGCCACGCCCTGATTAACAGCATTGGTGAACTGGTCATTTACCCAGTGACCTCCTGGTGTCCACGTGAAAAGGAAACTAAACTTCATCCAAAGCACACAAACCTGATCATAGTAATCGGTGCATACATGAAACCCAGGACTGGGCATTCAATTTGAATCCTTAATATTAAGAAAATGGAAATTAATAACTGCAGGTCACTTTGTAGCTTTACATACTCTTTGTCTTTTCTTTTACCCCCCCCCCCCTCAGAATAAGGTGTTCGTTTCAATATGGAATTTTCCATAAGCCAAACCAAACCAAACAACAACAAAAACCAACCAAACAAAACCAAACAAAACCCAAACAACCCCCCTCCATTATTCTAGCCCTGCACTGAACTTCAGCTAAACACCAGATATGACAAGGATTTGGGGATTTTATTTTGCTAGTTTCCTCAGGTACAGGAGAATCTAATCTAAAGCTGACTAGCATTTTTCCACACATCTGCATTGAGTCCACTAAGAGGATTAATGCAGACACACAGAAATAGGTTTTAAACATCTTTTAAGAAATAGGTATAGAATTATTTTGACATGGTTGGGAAATTAGAAATACCTGGTAGCGTTTGATACTACCTTTATTTTTTACGGGAATATAGCATAGTTATATTTAGCTGAGTTCAGACTCACATGCTGAAATTTAGCAAACATGCCTTTTTGACATAGAGATGAATGCTATTCCTTAGATGAGAATAGCATTGTCTTATCAAAGAGAACAGAGATAGCAGCATGTATCTTCCTCTTCCATTCCGGCATTTATCAGTAGGAAAATGCCTATTCACGTGCAGGGACAGAAAAAAAGATGCCATGATGCACACCATACACAGCAAATTATCAGTCTTTCCCATATCAAATAATATTCCACTTCTTTTCTTATCTAAGTAGGATCACTGATGCTGTGACTGTCAGTCAGTGCTTTTCTGTTAGATCAGTGGGTTGAAATGCTCAGTATCTTTTTGTTTCCTCCACTGAGCAGACTTAACCAGTGTTGCAGGGAAATGCCTAAAACATTAAGAAAAGAAGTTGGAATTACTACAAGAGAAATGAGAAAGTGACCACGCTTCTAGTAATTTAGCCTTTCAGGTTTAAGCATGTTTTCCTCAAAAGAAACATTATTTGTAGATTCTTGGCCCCATTTTCTAGGTATGTTGCTTACGGTCTACATGCTCAGAGCATTCCTTTCTACTGCTTAACTTTTGATGCCCTCAATGGCAGCACCTCAACTGATCCTCTGGTGTCCAGCACCAGGAATGGGATCAGTTCCTCCAGCAGCTTCTCACACAGAGGTCTCCAGCAGCCTGATTGCTGCACAGAGTTGAGTTGACCAAAGCAGCTTTCATCTTTCTTCATAACCCCACCAAAGCAGCTCCTTTTCCCTCAGAGCTCGGGCACTACAGGCTGTGAGAGAGCACGGGAGGAAGTTTACTCAGGGGTGTACATGGGACCAAACATCCTTTGTGCAGCTCAAAATCTGTGTAACCGCATTTAACCTCAGGAAAGGCATTGTTTGCACTGCTAAAGGAAATAAAAGTAGTTACTGGTGGGTTTGCCTTCTGTGCCAGTGGACCTAATCCCATAGAATACTCCCTTCTCCAGCATTTGTGATCTGGAGAGCAAACCTGGAACAGCAAGCAGTCGTGGGAGATGCAGAGAAAGATAAGCTGGGAGTAGCTGTTGTCTTAAATATAGAAAAGACACAGGGCGTGAGGTCTGAGGTGCAAAACTGAAGGTGCTGCCAGGACATAAATGAAAGAAGGAACAAAGGAAAAAGAAAGAAGGAACAAAGGAAAAGATTTCTCCCCCCCTGTCCAGGCCAGGAAAGGCTCCTGAGCTGCACTGGGAGGAGCCACAGCCAAGGGGGACATTTTTTCCTGCTGTTTCCCATCCCTCACTTGTGCACACCCTGAAAGGCTGCTGACACTCCAGCCATGCACACAGAGGAATGAAAGAGGCACTGACCAAGTCCAGGACCTTCAGTTTCTGTAAAGTATTGTAAAATACTTCCACCATTGAATGGAAACTGGTGCAGGCAGAAGGCAGGATGGAAGCAGTGTTATCACCTGGGAATAACGGGGAAAAGCAAAACTGAATGTCGAATTAGTCAAATGTCAAATATCAGAAACATTTTGGTGAGTACAGGAGGAATGGTAGATCCTGACTGCACCAGAGATGGCAATATTGGCTGCTCTACACTCGTGAAAACCACACAATTTACTGGTGAAAACCACACAATTACTGGTGAAAACCACACAATTTACACTCACACAAAAATGCACTTTCAAATTCTGACTGAAGTGACAAGTACCTGATACAATTTTCACAATATTAGAACTTGCTGGGAGAGCTTTGATTTTAGAAGACTGACCACAACCCCAAATATTTACATTAAAGAAATCTTATCCAGAATCAATTTTTTTTTCTTTTTCCATTTATACTCTTTGTTATATCCAGACTAGTAGTGGTTTTGAAAGCAGATAGGCAAATAATAAAATATTGCAATAGGCAAAATCTACATTTTAATAAAACATGATGAGTCTAATATCAGACCACCACCAGTGTGACAGACATGATGTGCAGGCAGTAAAAGGCAGTCTAAATCCAAGCATTTTTAAAAGTGGGTAAATTGCTATTATTATTGTTTCTTTGATGTGGAACTGGGGCAAATGGATTCCATCCTACAAACAGCTGACAGGCACCTGACACCTCCCAAGTCTCAGTGTAGCTCTGGTTTTGTTTTGGTTACTAGGCCTTCACTATGATAATAAAACACGTATTCATGAAGCCGGAGGAGCAGCCACCACATCATCTCTGTGTTAAAGATTTGTAACTGTGGTAACAGCACTGTTCACATATTTGATTTCATTTAACAATGTCAAGTCAGTCATCAGGCCTGCATTCTAACAAATGAGGGTTGGGTTTTCCTTTGAGAGGGAAACTGGGTGAAAATGGTTTTAGTACTGTATTACCTTTGTTAATTCAGCACCCAGATGGCCTGATTGGACAGCTATCAGGTCCAAACCATACAAAACAGCAGTCCTTATATTTTTACATCCACTAACCAGCAATAGGTCCCCTCGGGCTGTCAGTAACAATCGTGATAATCACTTACAGAGGAAAAGCAGCTCCCGCAGTGAGCTGTCAGCCCTCCCCATCAGCCTTCCCTCAAGATATCTGAACACAAGGGCAAAACAACAACTAAACAATAACAGAAACAATACCACACATTTGGGTTTGCTACTAAATGTTTTTGTGCCAAAGCAATTTCTTTCTTAGACTAAGAAGGAGGTCAAATAAAGTTTTACTGCTGCCAGTCATGCGAGTTTTTGGATGTCAGCACTGTAGATGAACCAGCATAAGCCGCTTTGCAGTCAGAAAACAGGATATAGGGAGAAAAAGAACAACTCAACATAAAGAAATAGGCCATTACCGTTTACAGCATTTAGGATTAACTGTGATACCAAGAGTTTAAAATGCAGCTTGTGTAAATCCTGTTTTCTGCTAAAGGGATATTTGAACTGCAAATAGATATTTACAGGGAAGATTTTCCTAGGCATCATTCTTTTTTTCCTAAAAAGCATAATTAATTCCAGCATAATTAATACAACAGACCGAAAAAGTCGGATCAGGACAATTCCAGATGCCCCATCCTGGACACATGTCCAGCTCTTGTGTGTTGAAGTTGGCACTCTGAATTCCCAGGCTGCTTAAAGTTATCTGCGTTTGGGTTTGTTTGGGTTTTTTAAAGTTTTTTGCAAAGCCAACTTCTTTCATTTAAGCACTGCTGCAAGCAGCACTAGATCCTACAGCAGCAGTGACGTGTCAGTGGTCCTTGAACACTCCCTCCCTCCAGTCCATTTCCTCACAAACACATTCCATGCACGCGTGGGATTCACTGGCCCAGCTCCTCTAGAGCTGATGTTGCTGTGCTGCTGCAGAACTGGAATTGTATAAAGCAGGCCCTTGAATTGACATGCCCCCTTTTAAAATGGACATAAAATAGGGAAGCCTGTAAGCAGCAGCCCATTGCCATGGGGCACAGGGTACCCCTGGCTTGAGGGAAGGAGTCTCCCCTGCTCCCTTTGCCCATCTTCCAGAGCCCTCACTCCCCAGCTGCATCTCTGCTGGAGCTCAGTAAAGAATATCATGCAGCATCCAGGCCCACATCTGCTGTCACTGATGATATTTTAGTCTTTTGGACACTAACACTGCATTTGAATTCAGCGGTATGACAAAATACTGCCTTTTAACTTTACTGTTCTTGATTAGGCACTCCTGGCTTGCCCAGGAGCTGTTGATAAAGAAGCAGCTGTAAATGAGGCTGGGTTTGATTGTGCTGTGATATGCACTGGCACTTCTTTTATCAGCATGAAGGCAAACAGAGCAATACCTAAACACAGAACCAGGCTGAGGACAGGATGTTCTAAAAACCAGTGAAGTCCAAGTTAATGTGTTTCATAAGACTCATCTGATAGGAATGTACTGGAGACACTGAGCTTTCATTAATTAAGAAGACAATTAAGGAGTTGTAAATGCAGAAGAAACACTAGATCTGCAAGCGTTTATGAGGTGAATTTACAGCTCAATTAAGAATGAAAATTGAGGAAACCCGGCATCCAACTCTGCTTTGCACACAGACAGCTGGGGGATTTGGGGAGAGTTGGAAGCTGGAAAAAAGAAAATATAGGGAAAGGAAAATGGAAAATATTTACATCAGACATAAACCCTATTCACTTTTAAGACCTAGCCACCAATGTCAGGTACTGTAAACTCTAACCTCATCCTGATTCTCTGGGATGTGGAGTAATCACACATGAAGAAATTGCTAATCAAAGCAGTGACCTCATGCTCAGGCCAGGACCACTTCTCAGAAATCCTGAGCACAGCTTTCAGGAGATTCACATTTAGTCCTATTATTTCTTAAACCAAGTTTGCCAGATTTGTTACTCACAGATGAGGAGATTTTCCTCCCTGGTTGCTGTATCGTGGTATTGTAAATTGTATTTGCCATCCAATCTTTGATTCAATTTTTTAGCATCATTGAGCTGCTGGTTGTTCCTGACCAAGCAGATGCCCTCTCCTCTGTTCTCCTCTCCCCTTAACCATGTCTCTGCTGGCAAAGCACCAGCAGGATGCTTCCACCCTCCCCAGACTGCATTTTCCCTTGCAGCTGGGACAGGTTTGCAGCTGGAGGGCACTGCACCACCAGCAGCCAGCCCTGCCGAGATGCACAACGCTCCTGCATTGCTGCAGGAGGATTTAGTGACCTGTAGTCCTTCTGATCCTGGCCCTGTCCCCTGCACTTGCAGCTTCTGCAGGTTGGGTGGGCTAAGGTGGCCTACAAAGTCTATACAAGCGGGCTCTGCAGGTTTCTGGGACCAGTGTGCTCCTGAGGCAGGTCTTCAAAACTGAAGTAAAAGTCTTTTTCACACTGGTATTTACAATTATTCAATATGGTTCTCTTTCAGTGACCCTTCCCAGAATTTCAAGGCACGTGACTTCCATCTAACTAGATCTATATTAGCATTAATCAGCATTTTCTATGGCTATAGAACAAATGTTTTACACCATTTACTAGTTGTTTTCTCTGAATTAATAATATAAAATGCTTGCTGGTAGAGCTGCCTACAATTACTCTGGACTCACCTGACAAAAGGCCTTAATGTGGTGTTGGAACTCCAAACCCTTCTATGTCAACCAAGACCACAGTTAAGGTGCCAGTGCTTTATAAGCGACAGCCTGAACAAAGTAATTTACAAAATTTAATTTCTGGGAGAACGTGGGAGGAGCTGGAACCCTTTTGCACAGTTTGTTGGGGTTTTTTTACCACTTCTGCAGTGATTTCCTTCAGGAAAGGCTTCTATTTCCATTTCTTTATAATTAAGTGATTCAGATTAAAAAGTTCACCAAGAAAGCTAACACATAGTTGTAGTAATAAATATATCTATTGTGCCAAGGACATCAATGCTGCATGAGTCACTTTGCATCTCTGCAGATTTTCTTAAACGTTTTTCTCCCTTAATCATTTCTTATCAGTGAAATTCCAAAAGTACAAGTTAAGAGAACATTACAGCTTGAAGAGATCAGCAGTGCAGTAGATAACCATGACTCCACCAAGCAGATGCTTATTTTGTAGCAAAGATCCATTACTCTACCGAGTACCTATTTATAAAGGCCATATTAGACTTCACAGCTGATTGAAAGTATTCATTTACACTTGATAAAAATATTTTATTTTCCTTCTGTACTCTTCCACCCCCTGCTAATTTTGTTCCCCTACCCTCGTTCTTTCCTCAGCTCAAGTTACCCTGTGGTTGTGCAAGGATTTGTCTTGGTCAGACTCTTCCTCTCTCCGAGCTCCACAATCATTTACCCTTTCCCAGTCACCAGGGCCTTACCCAGGGAAGTGACAGCTCAGCTAAAACACTGGGTTCAGTGAAACCAGTCAAACACAGCACTGGCAAGAGAGAACTGTGCAAAGACCACAAGAACTGAGATAAACCATTTTATGGGACCATTCTGAGTGAGCGGGTTAGTCAGGTCGTGTACACACCTTTCTGATGCCCCAGCCATATAACCACACCTCTCTATGACAACAGGTATGTGTGTGGAGGTCAAAAGCACACACCCACTGCAGGAGATAAGTTCATCTGCTGGAAAAACACAAATCAGGGCAAAACACCGCGTCCCACTGGTTGCAACCACTGCAGCTAAAAGCAAACAGTTTCATCTGACAAAAGTTTTTGTGGATCACACGCACACACTTTATTTATGAGTCCCACCTGCTGGCACGTTGGATGTTGACATATCAGTTGGTGTTCTTCTGCTCTTATTGAACAGAGGCTTTCCCAAAGGCACACCCTGTCTGTTTACACAAATGCTTCTCTCCACAATCGTCCCTAGATTTAGTGTCCCTTGGCCTTAATTCAGTACCCTGAAACTTTCACCTCATGTCCCCATGCGCCGTTTGCAGTTAATTTACAAAGTAAATGGCACCTGTTCAGCCCTTCCCCTCAGTGGAAGGCACAGCATCACCACGCACTGTGTGTGTTTTTAACATGCAGGTACCGGGCTGGTCTCACAGTGATGAACACCCGGTGACATCCAGGTAGATGAAACTCATCTGGGTGTAGCCAGGTGGGGGTCGGTCTCTTCTCCCAGGCAGCTCTCAGGAGGACAAGAGGGCTCGGGCTCAAGCTGTGCCAGGGCAGGTTTAGGTTGGATGTTAGGAAGAAATTTTTACAGAGAGGGTGATCAGGCATTGGACTGGGCTGCCCAGGGAGGGGGTGGATTCACGGACCCTGGAGGTTTTTAAGATGGGACTGGATGTGGCATCAGTGCCATGGTCTGGTAACCACGGTGCTGTTGGATCAAGGGTTGGACCTGATGATCTCAGAGGTCTTTTCCAACCCAGCTGATTCTATGATTCTATGATTTCTTTTCTCAGTCCTGGTTGGTATTTATGTTCATTATCATGACAGGTGCCTGAAATGATTCCTGATGGTAAAACACAATCTTTCAAGGGTCTAGAAAAAACACCTGGATAGAAAACTAATGTAGTCATTAGCCTTGTCCAGATTTTCCCCAAGCTTCTGCAAGCAATCCATGAATGACTAAGAAAAGACATACAAAGCAACACCTCAATACATGCACTGTGACATCTTCTTCAGGGCTTTGAGCAGTGTAGTCTAGTGTAAGGTGTCCCTGGCACGGGAAGGGCATTGGAACTTGGTGATCTTTAAGGCCCCTTCCAACCCAAACCATTCTGTGATTCTGTGATCTGGGGAAAAAGGGAGGGGGCTGAAAGAGAAAATGCCCAGGGTCAGTTCTTGACAGAAACAGGTATTTCTCAACAGAGCAACGTCTGCAACAGAAGCTTGTGGGGTTTTTTGTGGTTTTGTTGTTGTTGTGTATTGGCTTTTCTAATACAAAACATCAGCAATGTAAATAAAGCACTTACCTAATGTGGCTGGCACAGAGGAAAAGGTGTCCTTCAAATGAGTGTCTTAAAGTGGAAAAGCACAGCGAGTTCACGAGTCCTGATGAAATTACTTGTGGGTGGATTTTTACTTCAATACTCACCCAGCTGCCAGAATAAAAGCACCGTTATAGGGTGCTGGCCTATAGAAACTTAATTAATCATGGAAAATGTGTGGTGTGTGCTTTCCAGCCTAACTTAGTACCCTAAGTGCCACTTGCCCTGTAGGGGATGGAGGACTATTCTACATTTTTTCATAGCACTATCTTGTTTTGTTGCAAGCCTAATCTGTCAACCTTTACTTTTACTTTACATAAACAAGCAGTAGAAGTATTAAGGTCACTCAAGTAAGTGAGGACTTTCCTCCCAATTAAAGTTTTATGTGAGAACAGGCATGTCTCATCAACATCCTTTATTACACAGTTATTCGAGGAACAAACCTGCAAGGAGCTGGGCTCTTTAGAAATAAGAGCCCACAAAGTGCTCACTTAGATAGGCATGGAAATTGCTCAAATGCTTAAAGCTGTTTGCCAGTATTCAGATTTTGGGACCTACTCTGTGCCAGATGCCGTGCAATATGAAATACATGGCACTGAACCTGTAGCCTGTGAAAGCACTGAAATTGGGTCTATACAAGATTTCTTCACTTATTTATTCCTCATGAAGGAGGACATTAAATGAAGAGGATGGATTTAATCCATGTCATACAGTAAAGTTATTCCAAAATCAAGACTGAAGGAGGCACAGCCACTGGGCGCCCATCACTCTCTGTCCTTCTGACCTTTCTTTTGTAAACATTCATGTGCTTTTGTAAGCATAATACTAACAAATACTTAAGAAAGCTGAAAGTTATATCTGTCCTGGGCTGTCTCTCTCCAAAAAGTAATTACTATTATGCTTTAAATTGTTTTGTTAACTACATTTCAGATGACTGAAGTAATAAAATGCTGACTAATCATGGATAAGATGCTATCTTCTGGCATGTGCTAATAGAGTACTTCAGTAATGATTTGGCATTAAGGAAGCTATTCCTAAGAGGGATCAAGTTTAGAAAAACATTCAGGATTCCAGGAAAAAAAAAAAAAAATCTTTTCACAGTATAGAGGTAATTTTCCCTAAGGAGCTAAAGTGGGTTTTGCCCTCCAAGGGATCCAGTTTTAGGGAAGAAAAAGCACATCTTAAAACCTAAAGTTTATATTTGAATTAAACTAGTATTTATCATTCTAACATAGAACATACCATTCTAATTGAAAAGAAATCAATACAATTAAGATGAGGGTCAGGAGGGCAAAATTCCATATTTTTTTTTTCCAAACAGCTCCACTTAGACAACTCTATTAGAAAATGTGTATTTTGGATCATTTCCAGGTTTGTCTAATCCTAAAACAAGTAACACAATTGACACAAAATGATTTTTTCAATACACACATCAAAGTCTATGAAGAGTAGTACACTTTTGCATCCAGCAAATTTTAAGACAACAAAAAAAAAATCTCAGAGCTTACAGAGATGATGCGTCTCTACTCTGTTTCGATCTTCCCAGGGACAGACCAGCTCCTCCCCAGGTATTGGTGTCATCTGGTTTGTGGCACTACAGGGGATTTCCATCCCTCTGTCCCAGAAGAGCACACAGTGACAGACTGTCATGACATGGCATGACATGTCATTTTGCCCACAGAAAACATCTGCATTTCTAGGGACACCACCAAAAAAGCAACCTCTTTTAGACATGGCACTTTCTGTTTCTGCAGAAGGTGGGGACTGCCCTGGGGCTGGGGCTTCTCCTTTGTCCACCCGTGGAAGCTGGAGAGATGCTCCAGGTGCAAAAAACAGGTTTAGTGCTGACCAGAAGAGCTCACTTTGTGGTAGACTGTATTCTGCCCACGCCTCAACCACATCTCATAAAATAACCAACAATCCAGCTGTAAGCTGCAGACAACAAAGATAACCCAGCATTGTGTGACAGAGGTTTAATACTAGACACATGAAATAAAATCCTCCAGTTAAGAGCAGAATTCAGTTAGAGGTTAAAGCTATGTTGAACTTTAATCTGCATCCTGGGTACAGTTTATGGTATGTGAAAAGGGAAATATTGCCATAATGAGCTGTTGCTGCCATCTACTGAACACGAGGAGTGTGTGCTACATAGATTTACAGTCTGTCTAGTGAGTGAGAGAGAGAATATATGCTTGGCTGGATTTAGTACAATTTCTGTTTCGTTAGAACTATCATGCTTGTTTCTAGATGATAACCAGAACAGGAATTTGCTTTAGAGAATACCTGTGACCCTCTGGGAGACACTGAGTTCTCCTTTGGAGAGCCACTCTAGCCTGGGGGGAACTGGGAAAGGTGAGCATGCACAGCTCCCATAATGTGAAACACACTGCTGTTAATAAGAGTTATTAGTCAGAGCTGCAGGTTATTAAAATCTTAGTCCACATTAGCTCTCCTTCAGTAATATCACTCAGAACTCCATCCTCTTTGCTGAGGATGAATACTTGCCTCTGTGTCACAGCTGTGATCAGGAGGAATGACCTTCCAGTTGAAAAAGAACTGGCACTGAACTGGCACTGAATTTCTACCAGAATGCTGATGGGTGGGACGAAAGTCCAGCGGGCTGCTGAGGGAGTTCTAAGGAGGAAGAGCTATCCCAGCCCCAGTGCTTCTTCTCTTCAGGGCCTGAGTCTCTTCCTGCAAGTCCCAGAGGCTGCCTCTGAGGGGAACCAGAGGCATTCAAACATACTCGTATCCATACACATTAACAGCAAAAAAAAGTTGTGTTAACACACAAAACAGCAATAATGTCACTAATTGCAAGAAATTCAGTATTATCATAATTCATAAAAAAAATATATATGCATGTTTTGCTTACCTACAAGGTATTTACGTGGACACTCATAGCCAAACTCAGCCCTGCAGGTAAATAAAACCCTATTTGGTGTTGACTTCTAAGGAGGCAGGACAGATTTGCTTCAGAGATGTCTTTGGCTTGTTAAGGGTCATAAGAAGACTGAAATTGCAGAGGAAAAGGGGATCCTGCTGATCTTACCAGGCTGACAGTTCAGACACACACAGCTCAACAACACTGCACAAACGTGGCTTTGCACAAGACCCAAGATTATGCTCTACAATAGTATTCACTTCTGTCTAAAATGGAAAAGGGATTTAAAGAAAAAAAAATAATATAAAGATCTGGTTCTTGTTCTCAGTCTACATCAGAGTAAGTCAGGAGTGAAAGGGCTGGATTTAACAGTGTGAAATTAGCGAGAATAGCAAAAAGCATCCTTTATTCCTCTGCAAAACCATAAATTTCCACACGAGGGAGCTTCTTGCCCACGAAGCTGACAGGGTGCTGCTCCTGGGAAAGGTGCAGCAATGGTTCCCTGTGAGCTCATAACTCGTGCAGCCTGATTGCACTGCTGAGTTACAGCAACGAAATGGTTAACAGATAATGATGATTGTCAGAGCTTGTTAACCACAATTATTTTCAAGACATATGTAAATCTGTATAAATACCTAAGTGTGGTATATAATCTAAAACATACTGTTTAAATCTATAAGCATTCCTGAGTTAATTTCACTATGGGAACGTTAGTTGCAACTTCCTGACTTCACTGTGTTTGAATTCATATCCATGAACATTAATTTAAAATTAGTCTAAATATTTGTTGAGAATTAATCACCTGATAAATTTAGCTCTTTTTCATTTTTATGAATTATTCATTATCTCCTCTCTTTCCGTTGATGTGTTGGTTGTTTGCAAGAATTGAATTACTGGTTCACACTGAAAAAAAAAAAAATCCAGCATTTCCAGTGATTTGTAAAATCTTCCCCTTGGAAACTTGACTGGTGATTATGTTGGGTTTACCACCAATATTGTATGGCACTGGTTTGCTTCTTGAAGGACCCACTGGAGTTTTTAAGAGGCATAAGCAAGTTCATAAAGCAAATATTTTGCAACAGAAAAAAAAGTTTCTGTTTATGTCTTCCATATATATCATGGATGTTTCAAAAAAGCTTGTATTTCAAAGCTTTCACATGAAGTTTGTATTAGTACAAACCTGTTGGTGGGAATGTTTGGGAACAGTATGAGATGTTACTGAAGGGATGAACAGCTACATAAACCACTGAACTAGAAAAAGCTCCTTTTGCACAGCCCTATCATAGAAAATACCTGAGCTTGCCAAAGGAAAAGAATAATTCTGTTCTAGGATGGCCTCAGGCAAGTCTGAATGAAAAATTATCAACCACCAGATATTATAACAAAGAACAAACCTTTCAAGGCAAACCTTGAGTGGATGGCAGCAAGAATCTTTAACACTGGATGGTTCAAAGTGAAGTGCTTTGTGTGCCTCCAGCACAGAGAGGATCATCTCTCAAATCGTTTACATGGCCTGCCTTCAGTGGAAACAGAGGAAGCCCAGATTTCCTGAACAGAGCTAACATTCCCAAGTCTAGTGCTGGAAGCCCAATTTCTGGCTGCCACTCATTAAAACAGCCTTTGCCATAAAATTATTTTACTTGCCAACATAACTTCCCTTTTTTCAACACACTGGAACAGGTAACATCCTGAACTTCCCATCTCATGATGTCCTTGTATTTGTTACTTTCAATATCAGTTTGCTACTATTAATTAAATAGCAAATCAGAAAATTACTTCTAAAATTTTAAAGAAGCAGCCCCCCCCCCCCCAGAACACACCCTCGTGGGGTTGGTAGCTGGTACCAGCACTTGCAAAACATCAAAGGCTTCTCTAAACACAGACTTTCATCAGTGATGCTGCAAGCCTTCACCTAACCTTTCATGATTTCCCATGCAGGAACATCAAAAGAGAAGGAAGAGAATAGCACTGTTCCAAAGCAACACTGCTCTGTGTGAAGAGTATGTGTTTAGCTACAACACACATGAAGTGTAAGTGGCAAATTATTATTTACGTGAGACATATTTTAATAAACATCATCATTAGCTCCCTGTCTTTTCCTATAAGGAACAAGGATTTTTGCAGTTCAAAATCATGTCCAAAGCTCAAGTGATTTCTGGAGGAAAATGAAAAAGAATTAGGAAGTATCTAATGTATAAGTCTTCAAAGCAAGAGGATCAATTTATGTTCATTTCTACCTCCTGAAACACATTCTGCATATTTCATTGTTTCTGTCATCTTGTTATAATCCATCCAAAGAGTTTTCAAAGAACATTAAGTCCTACAAATAAACAAACTGTGAATTAGAGATGGAAGGCATAAAAATGCAACAATTACTATCAAAAGTCTTACTTGTAGGCTGTTGTTACACAAAGTAATTAGATTAGGCAATCACTTTTGATCACTGCCACTGAGCAACAGGAGTTTTGGAGGGGACAATCCAAAAACCTTAACTGTCGTTTCTATCCTAACAAAAGCAAAATTTTATGAATTGTAGCAATTTTAAGGCAAACACTTTTCAGTGAATAATTTAAATATTTTTTTAATTTTGTTTTATATTTTCTGTAAGTATCACAGATGACTGTGAAACCACTGCATGTTAATGTTGACACAATTGTGCTGGCAGAAGAGATACACAACAGATACCAATTTGTAATTCTAGAAAATGGGCATCTTAACTTCATCTTTACCCCTAGCACTGAGTATTCTCTCATAAAATTCTTACCTTATAATTATCTTCACAAGGGAATTTTTGTAGGAATTTTTATATCACCTGAAGGTTTTACATTGAACACTCAAAAGAACTATTGGATGGATTTGAAATTACCACTAGGAACAACATCACTTTTTTTTGTTCCATACACTTGTTCAGAAACAGTAAGGGGCTTGAGGGAGTTTTGTAGGTTCAACATGTTGAGATTTGATCCTGCCATGTAAAATATTGAATATATTTTGTTTAATAAACAAAAAATAAAAAACCTAAAAAAAAACAAAAGCAGACATAAAAATTGAAACGTTTTCAACTAATTTATCTTTTAGGTATCAGGTTTGGCTTTCCACTGCACTTACACCTTTGTAGGATCACAGCTGACACCAATGGACCCTTTGGCCCCAGTCTGCACCCCTCTATAGGTCTGCCTTTTCCCTGTGCATACTTACAATGAGGAAACAAGCCCCAATCATTACTGCCTTCATTCTCACATCGAGATCTACAGGGACCTGGATCCCGAAGTTGGCAGTGTTGGTAAAGACGTTGTTTACAAATCCAGACCAGTACTTGGAAATTTTGCCAATCGTTGTCATCTCATTGAGGGCTTTTACCTGCACAAATAAAAAACAGGAACAGACATAAATGTAAATAAATCAAGTGCACACTGATGACATCTCCACAGAATTAATGACTGTGCCCTGACATGCAGAGTATGCTATAGGTGTCAGGTTCTTCTTTTATTCTTATTGCTGAGATGTTCTATTAGTGTCAAATTTGCCTTTAGGAGTGGCACACAAGAAAGGGTCTCAAGTTTGGAAATCAGCATCTTTAGAACTGACAGAAAAGTGCAGGAAAGCAATTTTGAAAGTTTACACTTTTGTTCCTCTTTCACAGTGTTGGTTTTGCCCTGTCTCATGCTTCTGACACACTCACATTGCCGTGGACCCCTGGCCCCTGAGGGGACAGATCTGTTCTCAGTTACGTGGCCATCTGCACGCTTCTCACAGGATCCTGACATTTCAGACAGGACCCACTGCAATCTTCTGATTTGGGTAATGAGCTGATACACCCCAAAGTTCCTTTATGGTTCTCAGCTAAGGCAAAGCACTTTGTTCACATCAGAAAACTCCATTCAAGGTTTCTTCAAGCATCTCCCATTCTCCCTCTCATCTGAGAAATTTATTCAAAACACTAAAACTTTTAAATTCTTAACACTCATGAGAAACATACCTCAAAGTCAACATCTTCAAAACAGCCACAGGTTGCATATGGGCCAATTATTTTTAGTACATCTTCTTTACTTTGATTCTGTATAGTAAACTTTGGCAGAAAAGGGTCCCAGTTCTGTACAACATACCCAGCTGTTGTACCTGGTGGGGACTGAACTTCTAACTAGCAAACAAAAGAAAAAGAAAAACAAACAGCAAAATGTTTCAAACTAATTTTATATTAGTACATTTTTCCATTATAGTGTACTGTTTATATAATGCCAAAATACTTATTTATTGCATATAGTGATATGTAAGTTTACCAAACAGTGAACTGGATATTGCAAAACAGTCTAGTGGTGTTTTTAAATATGGTGTTTTTAAATATAGAGGAAAATATGAAGCTCAAAAGTGCCACCAGAAGCAAGCATCTTTTATATAAGACTTTATAAAAGCCATACACTGTGAAAAGATTTTGTTATTGTAATCAGCAAGTATCCTATAAGCTTTTTTTAAGTAGCTGTGCTACCAAGGGATCTTTTTTTTTAAATCCTGATAAAGGGCTGAGAACATAAGTGTAATATAAAACACTTTCATAAAACAAGAAAGAAGTAAAAAATATGGAGAAAATATCTGATACTCTGTGGGATCTCCACTTTTCACTCCAAGCAGCTCACTTCCATTTTCTACAATTTCCCGGAGATAATGTGGCCTTGAAGAGGCAGAGCCACAGACCGAAGCATCACCTCCTCAGAGAGCTGCTCCCCAGCCACACCCACACACACCCACGGCCTCCAGGGATTTCCCATCCTGTACCCTCCTGGACCACAGTGGGTGATGTCTCTGTGCCAAGGCAGGCAGTATTTCAAGTGTTATGTGAATGGAGAGATGTGCATCATCAGACACAGAAGCTTTATGAGGGACATGAGGAAAGCAAGGTCCCGTGGAAGGGAGGGGAGGCACGCTGGGAACTGGCCTCGTTTACCTCCAGGAAGGTCTCCAGCGCCCCAGCACGAGGAGGGGCTGTGAATCCCTTCCTGCCACCTCGCAGGACTGCAGGGGGCTTCATTAACGCTGTGCAATGCAGCAGGACGTGGAGCAGAAAGCATTTCGGATTCCCTCACCTGCTGCAGGAAGCAGGGGCACCAGCAGCTGTTGCATCTCAAGGGTCTGATGACTCTGATCACCTCCCGGCCCGCGTTATCCGCGATCCGCATGGTGAGCGACCTGAGCGGCGAGCACACCTTACGGTCACAGCACTCGTTTTCTTCTACTGCAAAGTAAACTCTTTGCCCCAAATGGTTTTTTATCTCGTATTTGCTGGAGGTCTCTGTGCCAAGTATGGCTAATAAAGCAAAACAAGCAGAACATTAATTTAGTCTAATGTTAGTCTATGTATATATGAGTACATACTCTAAAGATACAGATTTTTAAACAGATTGTTTAAAAGAAAAAGTGTTTTGAAATTAATGAAACAAAGAAAATACACAATTATAAAGAAATAATAATAATGCCAGGTCTGTATTTGGAAGACATTAGTTCAAAGACTTTGATTTGCCGTACGCCAAAGTACATATCATAAAATAGAATTCATATCCTGAGTTTTGGTTTAGGGTTTTTCTTACTTTATCATCTGTGAAAAGTAATACTATGAGGCTGTCCCACCTCAGTAACTAAGCTTTCATCCAGTGGGTCATTCAAGAATCAGACCAAAACCATTCTGAATGGGAGAAAAACATTTTGGAGTGTTTTACTTGCAGAACTTAATACTTGTTCAGTACTTTGAAATTCTGAGAAACCATGTGATCCGAAACTCTTATGCCTCACTTTCTGTCTTCTGACCTTCATTTCTCTATTTGCTTTGTTCCTCATAGCATGTTAGTTATTGTTAAAGACAATAAATTTTTCCATGGATTGGAATGATGGTCAAACTTTAATAACACTGAGGGAGAGGTGTCTGAGGGAGAGAATTTAGGGTCATTGTAGAGGCTATTCCCTGTAATCCTTCTCTTCTCAGAGGTTTGCTGCAGAACAGGCATACAATAAAGTGAGCCTTCCCTCCACCATCACCACATCACAGGGCACTGAGAGGCTTCACAGTGACTTCAGTGAGGAGGAGGCAAGACTTGGAAGCCTTTTGGAGACCTCTGTGTACCAGAGTGACAAGGATTGCACCAAGGATTGTCAAAGAGTGACAAGGATTGCACCATACCTTCCAGAAGCTCCACTTGCTGATGAATAATTATCCGGTCCAGCTGTTTAAAAAAAAAAAATAAATAAACAAGATGATGGGTCTTCGATAGGTCTGGGGCTGCCAGTGGTCACCTGTCTATTTTTATTGCTCCTCTCCCTGTCTACTAGGATTTCTTTCCTTTCAGAGATGCACAGGCTGGGTGCCTGAGGGCAATCTCCATCACACTTTAGAATTCTGTCTGCAATTATGGCTGAAGAATGTGCCATTGGGTGCTGTGGCCATGTAATTCACCCACACATTTGAAGAAAAATAATCTTCGTGGGGGAATAAGGAAGACAAGAGCAATAGAAAGCTGTGTGAGGAGCAGGATCCCCTTCTTGCTCCCGTTCCTCCTCCCTGGCAGAGGGTTTAAAATGTGCTGCAATCACATCCCAAAGGGCTTTGCTGGGGCTGCCCAGCAGGGCAGGCAGGAGAGGCCAACAATGGCTCACAAGAGCACAGGAGCTCTGCATCCTAAATCTGGCAAATGGTCATGCCAGGGTGCCAGAATGAGCAAAACAGCAGCTCCACAAAGAAACCTTAGCTGGCTGAAAAATTTTCTTACCCCATGAGCTGGTTACAAATGCAGGAGAAAAACTGCTTGCCATGATACCCAGCTTTGCTGTGCTTATCATCCCTCTGACATTATTCTTCTTTAGAGAACAGTTGTTGGTATTATAAAACCAGCAAGACTTAATTTCAGTCTACCTTTCAGTTTTATGTGACTTTTTATGCCTGTTTTATGGGCTAGTATATTAAGGCTTTACCACTCTTTTCCATAAATTCCTGATGGGCAAATGGTTGGCAGAGGGTCTTGCCATTCCTCACAGCTGCAGACAGAAAGCACACAGCGACCTTCTGAGGCCAGCATGTCACAGCTCTCCAGTGCCTGCACATTTTACAATTGATAAATCTTGCCTGCTACGTATTCAAACTGTTGCAGCCATTTGTCACTTCTAGTCATCTCCTGCAGCTAGTTCAGGCTGCAAAGAAAAGCTGGTAAGAAGAGAAACTTCTTTATCCCTTTCATTAATCTCTGAAATGTGCATGCCAGTAATTGAAATAATAAAAAATATTTAGACTTAAAAATATTCTCCCAAGAATCTCTGCTGTTTGTTTAGGTTTGATGAGAGACGTGAACTCTTGGAGCTCATGGGAAGAGCTCTGCTGATGACAACAGAATAAACAAGTTAAAGATATTAGGGCTATCTTAATATTTTAGTATTGATTTTAATACGGATTTCTTTGCCCCACGTAGACTTTCAGAGGGAAAAGAAAATTAATGAGCCTGAACTGTTAAAAGCTTTGAGTGATTTTGGTCTGTGCATTGGTTTATTGTGCACAATGTATAAACAATGTTGAGACAACACAGCAGTACCTCTTGTTAGCCTTGTTTTCCCTTTCAGTGGTTTCTGCAAGGCAGCTATTCTGATGCATTTTTATTGGGGCACTTGTGGATTAAGGGAATTCTGCACTTGCATTTGAAAGCATCCAAAGCCCTTTGGTTTACAAGGGTCTGGTTCCCTCGAGCTCAGATATGTTACAATTCCTTATACACAGCTAATTCTCAGTATTCAGTTCTGTGGGCATTAAATTTACATCTGATCAGCCTAACCAAGCCTACACTAAGAAGCTTTTTACAAAATTGGTTAAGCCTGAATGGTGGCACAACATGAGGCTGAGCTACTCAGGGAATTCTCCTCCAAGGTCTCGCTTGTCTATTCCTGCTGGGGGAAAAGGTTCCCTTTATTTTTATGATGGACGCTGAACAATTCTTCACATTATGGCTGTGATCTGGAAGAGGATAATGAGGTTTGGGTAACTTTTTTTTTGGCAGGAAATTATTTAAATAGTGTCACTTCTGTGATAGTTATAGCAAGCATGGTGCCTGTTTGCTGAGGCAGAAGCAGCTTTTTGCCCTTCTCTGGTGCACCTTAAGCAGCTGATTGAATTGCTCCTTCACCTGAACTCCACATCTGCAGAGTGAAATATTGCTGTCAGGCCTTAAAGTACAGGACAGATATTTTCCTTTCCTCTTATCCAACACTGTGTCCTTGAGTTGCTATTTAGAATGAGACTGTAGTGATCCCTCTGAGATTCACTAAATCTGGATCCTTGTTTCAGAGTCAAACAGATATATATATATGCTCTTATAAAGAAATATATTCAGCTTTTTCAAATCTATCCAGCTATCTTCCCCACTCAGGCTGGAGATAACCCCAGAATGTCCTTTCTATTTGATATCCTGTATTTATTCACAACCACTTTCTATATAATCTTTCTTCCAGTAACAGAAATTAAATGTGACTCTTTCTCACAAGTTGTTTACTCTTCTAGGTACTCAGTCATGGTTCCCTCTCTGGTAGTGTTTTTCCAGTCTAAAGATGAAACCACTGGAGTCTTTGTTTTAAAGCAGGTTCTCTACTCCCCATGCCCTTCCAGTAGCACCTGTCTGTGCCTGTTTCAGTCTGGACCCACCTTTCCCCAAAACACACAAGCACCAGAAGGATACACAGTCTTCTAGTGGCATAAAAACCTCCCATTTCTTCTACAAACATCTTCATTTGAGAATTTCATTATGTGAAAATCTCTGAGTCCATCAGGATAAATTCCAAGTGATTACCCTGGCAGCTGTGAATCCCACATTCATTCTGCAGGCAGCCCTCTCCCTGCTGGTGGGATCTCCTTTATGCTCCAGTCTATCCTGTACGAGCCTCCTTCATTAGTCACAGACAGGATGACTTCAGCATCACACCCCAAAATGTTCTGTGATGCACAGGAACTCGAGCTGGGGGTATCTGCTGACAATCAGCATTGCACACATGCTTCCCACTTTTCAGACTGCAGAGAAAATTAAGAATACTTAGCAAGGGCTGCAGCACAGGCACATGGTTATGGGGCCCAGAGCAAGCATGAATGAGATCTTCAGTTCTAGTCATAATCCTAAAAGCAACTTGCTTTTTTGTCTTTATATCAGATGTAAATCTGCTATAAAATGGAGCGATAGTTTTTGCTTGCCTGCATTGTCTAGGTAAATCTGAGGTGTAATTTATGTTCATACAGGAGCCTGGATGTGTAACCTGCCAAGTATTTACTATCAAAATCACTTTTAGACTAAAAAATGCAGCTTCCACAGTCTGTAAGCAAATGCTTCTGTAATTGACAACACATATCATTTTGTGCTTGGGCACCTTGAAATGAAAGCCATAACTCCACATGAAAGACTGTTTTTGAAGGGTCTCCAGTTTCATTAGCTATCTAGGTAACAGCTCCAAATATAAAATACGTTCAATTTCTGCTTCTATACAAAACTACCAGAACTGTGTGCCTAAAAAATACAGACCTTGAGAGAAGTAAACATTTCCCATCATCACCAAAATGCAAACACAGCAGAGATGTGGGTATCAGAATTATGACCTGACTCCACTGGGGGCCTGATTCTGTCCCTGCCCATACTATGACCTAGAAAATGTCCTAGAAGGGAGAAAACAATGGTTTTGGTGAAAAGAAGGCTGCATGCACAACAAATTAATTTCTACAGAAATGAATGACAGAAATGAAGAAAGAGCTTGTTATTCCTACTCTCCCCATTTCACAGTAATATCAAAAAAAAGGAAAAAGCCTCTACATCTCCACCTACCACAACCTCATCCCTCAAGGTATCAAGGCAGCATACGAGGAAAACATAACAATTCTAACGTTTGGAAAGATTCAATACCTGGTTCAGGTACTCTAGACCAGGTGGCAAGTTGTGAGTGTGTGATGTTTGCTTCCAGAGACTTGTTGGTTCAACAGGCTTATTCTGTTCAGGGATGTCGGAAGAACCAGGGAGGCAATCCTTAAAGATGGGGTTGGTTTGTCCCTGAGATTCTACATGAAAAAAAAAGGAAAAGAAAATTATAAATTAACAGGGCCAAAGAGTAGCTAGCTTCTTGGATCAAAGCTGGAACAATAACATCACATGTTGCATGTGACTGTATCAGTACTTTGGTTCAGATCAGGAATCAGGACCCAAAACAAATTTCCTGATGGTCCCACACTTCTGGCGCTCTGATTCACTTTATAATTTAGCAGCCTTAGAATTTGCAGAGTGGAATGACTGCAGATGAAGCTAAAGCAGGAGATGTGGTCTTGGAGAGCACGTGGTCTGCTCAGCTGGTGGGCACAGAGCCCGTGTGACAAGGCTGGGGCTGGTCTGCACTCACACAGGGTGGCCACAAGGGCAGCTGAGGGAGCTGGGAGTGCTCAGCCTGGAGGGGCTCAGGGGAGCCCTCACCACTCTCTACAACTCCCATAGAGGAGGTATCAGGTGGGTATCAGTCTCTTCTCCCAGGCAACCAGCGACAGGACAAGAGGACACAGTCTCAGGCTGCATCAGGGGAGGTTTAGGTTGGGTATCAGGAAGAATTTCTTCACAGAAGGAGTGATTGGGCATTGGAATGGGCTGCCCAGGGAACTGTGGTGGAGTCACCGTCCCTGAGAGTGTTTAGGGAAAGGCTGGATGTGGCACTGAGTGCCATCTGGAGAATTAAAGCTGTCAGTGCTCAGCTGACAAGGTGGTGTTCGGGTGGAGTTGAGCTCAGAGGTCTTTTCCAACCCAGTTGATTCTGTGAAGCTCTCCCCATCTAAATGGAAAATCCCTGTATTGAGCTGAGCCCCTGTGATTGTGCAGTAAAGCAGCCCCCAAATTGATAATTTTATCTCATGTGTGACAATACTTGGGCACGATGGGGTGTGCGGTCCAGAAGGAATTTTGGCTCCAAGTCTGAATCTCCCTTTTGCTGTTGTGGGTTTAAATGAGATCCTTTAGTATTATTTGAACTCACTGTGAAAGATTCATCATTTAATAATATTTTGATCTTAATTTGTCTTTGCAGCCACTGCTTTCTTTCAAAGTCTGAAACCACAGGAAGAAGTAACCCCTTTGAATTTGTAGCTGGCTTTTAAAAATGTATAACTGGGTAATAAATATTTTATATGCTCTTCTGCATCACTTTACCTCACAGGGTTCTGTTACTGCCGTAACTCTTGTTGTTACATGAAATGCCACGAAGTGGCCCAGTGTTAGTGTTATTCTTGAATAATAAAGAGAAAAAAAGACAACAAATTGCAGTTCTACCTGTCAAATTTTAAGCTATACAAAAATCAAACAGTAAATACATTAAATATTAATGACAATCTGAGCTACTCTGACACTTTGACTATTTTTATGGATGATTCTTATTTAAGTTCTAATATAGAAAAACTCAGAAGTTACCGTACGATACAGTGAGTATTCTGTACATGTTCCTAAATGAGGTATATTATCAAAAATTCCTTTATTCTAAACACTATATTTCACACCATTACTATTTCACAGATTCTACTAACTGGTACACATCAAAAATATGCCAAACCAGATCTCTCTTATATGGTTAAAGTGAAGCAAAATATAAAACCTCACCTATATAGCTAGAGTACAACAACGCTGTAAAACCTGCTTGGTGCTGTGTATCTTTAATGCTCTAAATGCAGAATGTCTTGAGTATTTTGGGAGCAAAAAAGAGGGGTAAAAATTTGACAAACATGGAGAGACATTGCTGAAACTCCCTAGGCCAACATCTGCCTCTGCACATCTGAGTACCCAAGCAGCTGCTACTAAAAGTCAATACATGACAAAGACAAATCTAGATAGGAGTGATCTGATAAAATCCAGTTACTCTTCAGATATTATTTCCCATACATGGTTAGTAGGACTCTGGCCAGTTTTGAATGTGAAAACCATTTGCTGATGTAGTATTTTCAAAGTGGAATAGGGAAGAAGTGTGCAAAAATAGGGGTACCTTTTCCTCAGTACCGACCCTTCCCATGCATTCTGCACCGACAGGTTTAAGCACAAAGATACAAACACTAAATTTTATAACTGAATGCAGATGCTAACATTTTATAACATATTTTATTCAAATAACACCCTAGTATAGATTTTAGTCTCCTTAGGAGCCTCTTGGATGCTGAAAAATTAAAGGAAGGCAAAACAACTGTGCTTTGACTGATGTGGTTTTAGCCTGAAACACTCATTTCATCAGACTGCTGATTGCTGGAAACGTACAAGACTGTAGTTTTCTGTAAACATGATCTAAAAATACAGACTATAGATGCACTTACCTTGAGAGGCCATGAAGCTTCCTGAGTTACTTCTTCAAAGGAAGCCAGGTTAAAAGAAAAGGCTTTTCTTGTTGCAGCAAAGAAGAAAAAGCGCACAGCATGCACAGAACTTCAGAAGGTGCCTGTCTACTTGATATCAGCTCCCAAAGAGCGGGAGATGCGTCGCCTTCCTCATGGTGCAGAGCTGCATCGTCTGAGCCGGACAACAGGGGGAGACGCTGCCAGCGAGCCGGGGAACACTGATCCATGCACCAATGGAGAGAGGGAAAAGGGCTTTGTGAGCACAAAGAGGCAGAACTTCAATGCACCCACTGGCTAACTGAACACAGCAGACCTAAAATTGTGCTTTATCATGTGTGTATTGATTATGAGACTACAAAAAGTCCATCTTTGTGATTCAGTATTTATGTTTCCGTTTCTTCAGACTGCCCAGTAAAGACAAAGAAGTTAATCAACCTGTGGATGACCCACCCCTAGAAGCGTTTAAAGCCAGCTTGGATGAAGCTCTGAGCCACTTGATCTACTGAAAAGTGTCCCTGTCCATGGCAGGGGGCTGGAACTAGATGATCTTTGAGGTCCCTTCCAACCCAGGCCATTCTGTGATTCTATAATTTCCCTGTTGCTGACCCCAGTAAAAACATTCTCCATCCTTAGCATCAGCCAAGGGATGTCATGTCTAAACCCAGACCCAGAAAAGAGGGAGAGTAACCTTGACTTACCTGCTCATATTTCTGCCTTGAGAGCCCAGGTCTCCATGGAGATCATCACGAGATCTGCAGGCAGAGGTGATGCATGGCTGCAGAAATGGCACAGCCTAAGCACAGAGCCCAGCAGAGCAGAGGGAGGTGTTGGGGACCATTGGCTGTCCCCTCTGCTATTGCAAGTTCTACTGGTTTGAAATGGTCTGCCAGGAGCAAGGCTGAGCAAATTAAATTATCTACAGTTCAGGAAGATGCTGATGAGGATTCCCTGCAGGAAGATTACAGAAAATCCACCTCCAAAAAACCCCAAATTATATGGAAGCTGATTTTTATAGACTATACAAGCAAATGCAAGAGCCTTGGGTCTATTTATGGATTTGGCTATGTGAAGTTTCCCAGGAGTTCATCATTGCCTGCTTGAGAAGTCTTTGGGTGCAGAGGCAAGGCCAGCCCAGCACACCCTGCTGTCCTCACCCCTGCAAACACCCAGAGAAGGGACAGGGCAGCCCACAGGCAAACACTTTGGTGACTTAGAAGTGGGCACTAAACAAATCCTTCTGGATTAGGAGGAAGTTTGACACCAATGGAAATAAAAATTAGGAACGACCTAAAGTTTTTGCTTCCTTTCTCCCTGCCAAAGATGTGCTTCTTTGGAGCAGAGGCTCTAACCTGAAGAGCAGGCACACAGCCTAAATAGAGAAGAAAGAGGAGAGGGAAAACTCTGGATAAATATAGTAAACTTAACTTTGAAAATGACAGATGAAAAGTCAGATGAGATGGCACTCATTTACCTTTAAAAATTAATGGTGCTCTTTTTTTTTAATAAATATGCACATATTGGTCAAAATTTGCTCTAGAAATTATTAAAAGCACTCTCACTAAGACATTGGGAACAGAAGACTTTATCAGAAGACTTTATCCAGGCACAAAGGCAGTCATACTTTGGTGATATTTAGACATGCACAAGCAAAATAAGAAATGAGGACAAACATTTCAAGATTTGTGTAGTGCTATTTGTAACCAAATCTGAAGGACTTCAGGAAGCAGAGTGGCAGTACCCAAAGGAGAATTCCACCAAGACACTGAGCTCACTGTCCCTGCCCCTTGAAGAAGACTCTGGGGAAGGATATCATTGTCTCTACCATTTGGAGTCTGAGCAGTAAAAGAGAGTACACTGCCTTCCTCTCTAAGATATGTGTTGGATATCTAGAACCCATTCACAGCTATTAGAAACAAAAAAAAAAGAAAAAGAAAAGAAGTTGAGTGTACATACATGTATTCCCTCTACCTATAACACATTCTTGCTCCATCCCATGCTGTAAAACCGATAGAAATTGATGGGTAAATCCTCAGAAGGTGCAAATTAGCATGGATCCATTAAAATCAATGAGACCAGTCATATCAGGGCAAGCAGTGCTTGGCTAGAGGAGTTTATACATCCAGAACCTTCCTTTTTACCTTAAAGAAAGATTACATTTTATCTCTTCTATAACTACCACTTGTACAAAAGCTCGGGGATCCATCCCTGCTGAGCTGGTGCACAAACACCACTGCAGTTAATGGTGATCACAGAAAATACTGCAGCCTGGAGGATACCTGTCCATGGACTAGGACATCATTGGCCCTAACACACAACTAAAAGGCAGACTTTCCTCAGGAGAGCATGTAGGAATAGTCAACCAAGTGGACCAAGAGAGCACAAATGTCATCTGGCTCAGCACAGGTGCTGTTTCTCTGGAGCCTAATCCCTCTGCCATTTTTATTCGGGCATCACAGCCAGAGTGTGGCAATGGTTTCACAAAATACACCTTGACAAGAGAAAAACAAGAGACACCAACAAATTTCAAAGTATTAGGAAAAGCTGTTTGATTTCTTGTCCTGCTCCCTGCTGCTCGGAAAACTGTTCCATGAGCCCGGTGCAAGACATTTGCCCTCTTGCTCAGCAGGAAAAGACAACACTCCCTTTCCCCACTGTATCACCATCAGCTCCCTCAGGGAAGCAGAAACTGCCTCTGCTCTTGTCCCCTCGGTCTCGACAAGTTCAAGAACTCAGCTCCTCCCCACCTGCCCCTACTGAGCTCCGAACAGGCAAGTGTTAAGAGCAGGGTCAGAGCAGCACGAAGGCATCATGAAATGCACCCCAGCCTCACCCAGCAGTGCCTGAGCTTCCCTGCTGCTCACAGGGATCATCGCCACTCACTGTTTCCATTTTAAATTCCCTTTCCTCAAAATACCAGTTGTGACCAGCATTAAAATGCATTGCTATCGTCAGTTTTTAAATAGGAAATTATACAGCCCTTTTCTTCCCTTTCCTTTAGTAGAGGGAGAAATGCTGAGCGTGAGCAGAGCACCAGCCTGTGACCCTGTGCAATAACGAGCCCCAAGTTACGCATCTTTACCCAGTACTGCTCTCTGCAGTGGGGATGGGGAAGGGGAATAATTTTCTTAAATCAGCCACCATTTCGTATCGTTCTCACCTTGACCTTTGGCTGGCGAGGCGTCTCGCTTCAGCTGGTGTCCGTGGGAGCTCCTCCCCTGCAAGGACGGCTGCATTCCCGATGGAATTCCGCAGGCAGGTCCCGGCCGAGGGGATGGATCGCAGGCAGGTCCCGGCTGAGGGGATGGATCGCAGGCAGGTCCCGGCTGAGGGGATGGATCGCAGGCAGGTCCCGGCCGAGGGGATGGATCGCAGGCAGGTCCCGGCTGAGGGGATGGATCGCAGGCAGGTCCCGGCCGAGGGGATGGATCGCAGCCAGAGCACGGAGGAAAAATGCGGGACTGCCCTCCCTGCCGGCCCGGGGATGGGCAGGCACGTCCATCAGTGGCTGCTGCCCGAGGTGTCCGCTGGACACGACACGACAGAAAAAACGCAACATTTAATATAGCAACTCTCCCCCGATCCGAGCTTTATTTTGCACGTACCTGAGCTGGGAGAAACGGGATTAAAATAGCAGTCTTAAAGGGACTGTGCAAGGAAAAATCAAGGAGGAAACCTTTCCAGCATTTGTGTTTAGAGATGGTACATGGTACTGAATATGTATCAGAAATTTTAATGCCCCCCCCCCCCCAAGAAAGTATTGATAGGGATGAGAAACTATAGATGTCAGCAACATACAGTAATCAACTGAAATAAATTCACAAACCAGCTTCCACACCAAATTCTGGCACAGGAGTTGGACAAGGTTTGGGGGGGTCAGGGGCTGGTTGTCTGTTTGGTTGGTGGTTTTGTTGTGGAACAGGTGTTTGGTTTTTGGTTTTGTCGGGGGTTTTTTTTGAGGCGGGATTTCTGTTGCATTGGGGTTTTGTTTGTTTGGAGGTTTTAAAATCACCTGTAAAATCTTGTTCTTATGAAAATACAGCCTTCGAGGGGCTGTGGGCACTGTTACTGAACTCAGCCACACCCTGGTTTCCCAGCAGTTCTGAAACAGCTGCACAAAGCAATTAGTCCAGAATACTGAGTTCAACCCGAGACCCAAATATCTCAAATTGAATCATAGTAAGAATGCTTTAGGTTAAAAGCAAAGGAAGGATGGTCATCAAGAGGCTGATTTATGTAAGCAGACCATGTGATTTAAGCACAAACTAAGGCCAGAAAGGAGCAGCATGGAAGACCTGAATGTCTCTCGCACTAAAACCCGTATCAAAAACTCCTTGCTGGTCATGAAGAAATTTTGAAACTGGTCTTTTGCTTCTGAGTGAATTTGCCCTAACTCATGAACACTCTGAGGAAATCTTTTTACATCTATCCTGAAGATCTGCTCTGCTCCAGATAAAAATCCTTTAGTATTAATTGTGTTTGTCATAAAGAATAACTTTATAGCTCTCTGGCAAGAGCACACAGGAGGTACAAAGTTTACTTGATTTAACTGTGTATTGGACACAAAGAGATTTTATGTTTCTTTTCTGCTTACTTTAGTAAACTGAGATTAATCTATTTTCAGAAGCTGAAATAAATTTATTATTTTTATTTTTGCTTGAAACCATCTGCCAAGTTCAACAGAAATTCACAAACCATGTGAACTTCTGTTTGCTGATTAAACACAGAATCAACAGTAACAAAACTGCATCTTGCCTTTCCTTATGTGTAACCAAATCCCACTGAACACTTTGCAGGCTGAAAGCAAACAAGAGGCGTTCTTCCTGAAAAGCTGTAAGTTTTCACAAGACTAACCAAACTGCCCAGCAGCCCCTAACAACTAGATCTACTGCTTGTCTCTAATTAAATTTTATCCATTTAAGCCTGTGATAAAATGGGATAAAGTACTCAATATACACTGGTATATTAATTAATAAGATTATTTCTGTCTTCTAGTACACTGAATGACAGAAGTCTTGGACACAAATTGCAATTAACGCCCTTGGTGACAATGGAGAACTTCTTTTCTGGCTTTGAAAATTTATCAAGTAAAATTAGAATAGTGCTTTGCTGTAGAAGAAAAACTAGTACTTCTCTCATACCTCTCCTTTTCCCTTTCTCCACAATGAAACATATAAATTGGAAGAAAGTGTAACTTGCAAGTCAGAGTATCAGAAAACACTGAGGATATTTTAGGTGCTTTTTCTTGGGTAAAAGTGACTTACTTTGAAATCAACATTTGCATCAGCTGCCAAATCAACAGTCTGATCTCCTGTCGAGGCACCAGGCAAGATCTGGACAGCCCTGGCTCTGTCCACACTGGCCAACAGCACAAGAGCAGCAGAGCTCAGGCACCAGGGACTCACCGTGCTCAACAGCACAAGAGCAGCAGAGCTCAGGCACCAGGGACTCACCATGCTCAACAGCACAAGAGCAGCAGAGCTCAGGCACCAGGGACTCACCGTGCTCAGTGGCTCTTTTGCTCTGGCTCTCGTGTGGCTCTGCAGGTGCTGGGGTGTGACTGCAGCACGTCCTCCAGAGTGCTCCCACCCAGCAGGGATCAGTCTGCACACTCCAGAAAAACTGATTCATATCTACACTCAAGCACAGCCAGTGGGGATGACCAGGGGATTCCCTTAAAACCCTCTGCACAAACTCAACCACTGACACGGCCATACCCAGCTGCCCACTGTATCTGCCATGGGATAACACCTTCCAGCCAGGAGAGGCATTTCATTCAAGGTGCAGTACATTTCTGACAATCAGTCTGTCCCATGGATGAGCTTTGATAGCTCCATATCTGTAAAATACAAGGCAGTGTTACCAGGTTGCTCCAGGAGGCTGCTGGAGTGTCTGTTTAATCCTGTGTAGTACAGAGGGTGCAGGTGAACAGTTCTGTGCTCATTCAGGGCACAGGAGGTGATGAGTCCTGACACTGCCATGAGGGCTGCAGCCATTCCAAGATCATTAGTTGATCTTCTCCACATTTTCAGAAAGTCACCATTCAATATTCTAATTCTAAATTCAAACTAAACAAAACATTTTTCACTTTTCGAGGAAAGGAAAAAAGAGAAGTGGATAAGACATCCAGAAGATTTAATGACATAATGGTAACTCTATTAGGACATGAAAATTAATTTCAGTTTCCCTGAGGTATCTTATTTTAATTAACAAATCCATGATCCTGCTCTATTAATTAGCATACTGAAAGAATAATAAGTTTTAGATGAGCTTAGTTCCAATAAAGCTTTTCATCCCCTAAAAAAATAATAAAAGGAATTAAGAATCTCAATCCAATTTGTTGTCTACATTTAGTACCAACGTTTTGAAATTCTACCCAATGGTAAAGCACAACTGTTAGTCATTTCTTTTAATTTGAAAATATTTTGGTTTTGCACTCACTGTATTTAAGACATTCTACCTATTGAAGGGGTGGCAGTGGCCCACTAAGAAAAGGATTCCAGGTACCTTGGATTCCTGCAAAGCACTTAGCAGGATTTCCTGTTATACAAAGTAAAAGAAGAGAAGGAAACATCAGCAAACCACCAATGGCTCAGGTTAGCAAAAAAAGCTAAGGGGAAAATTTCAGCATAGGTAAAAATGGATAGATGCTCATAACTTCAGAACTGTTTGTCCTGTAAAGACAGCTTGCTTCTTTGACCTAGCACCATCTGTAAAGCAAATGAGAGCAAAAGGGAACACTAGGAGGTTGCATGTGCACAATTTTTCTAATTAGTATCCCTTGACAGCATTTTGCTTATGTATTTCAGATTACCAGGTTGGATGTTTTCAAGGCTTTACTGAAGAACAAAAGCCAAAACAGTTATGATGTTAAAGAAAAAGAATCAGCATTAATCGAATTTGTAGAAAGAGCTGAGCAATTTAAAAATATGGGTTGTGGTGGAGAATGTGTGCCAGCTTCATCACTGCACAGTCTCCCATCAATCAGGGAGACTGCAGTGGCAGGAACTGCTCTGCACCCATAACAAGATGCTCTTACAGTTTAAGCTGGTCCTGCAGTCTCCTTATCTCAGCTCCCTTAGGTTTGATCAGCACTGCTGTACATCCCATGGGATCCCCAGGTGACACCCTGGTGCTCCATTGCCTCTGATGTATGCAGGAAAATGATGGATATTCTCCATAAGGATACTGAGAGCATGGACAGTTCATTATCATAGACAACAACTTCTTGCAAGAATATCTAAATATTCATCTATGTTTGCTTTTTTTTTTTTTTTTAAATTTATTTCATCTCCTTTTCATCTCCATGTGGTCCATCAAGGAAGCCTAATTAGCATGTCCCTCTCATATCTTTGTTTTTTCCTCAGACACCTAATAGCAATCATTCCTGCGTTTATTTCTAACCCTTTATGTCCCAGGCATGTTCAAGAAGGATGTTTCTCAGCAAAATTATTAACATGCTATCACTTTATCATGTACCTTTAGGTTTTGTAACATGTTTGGTAGTTTACTCAAAAGAAATACAGAAGTTCAAAGAAACTTCCCCTCCCTCCCCCCAGGAAAATAGGGTGGTCTGTTCAGAGATTCATTGCTCTAATAATTTATTTTCTGAGAAGAACCTTAATCATGGAAGATCGAGACCATGGAAGCAGTGAACATTCTTATTTCATACTTTATGTTTCTTAATTAGTGTTTCAACATCTCAGGATTTATATTTTTGCTGTAGTGGGGATTGGCACAGTTAGAACCATTCATTTAAAAGAAAAAAGCGACTTTTCCTTAATGAGAACACTAAATTAATGCTTAATAATAGACTTAAATAATAGCATCTTAATTAGATTGCCAGCTTTCACACTCATTGTTATCAGGTAAAAATACAGAACTTCAAGTTTCAGAATTATTCAAAAGAATGAGAAGTTAAAAAAAGAACCCCCATCCTGCTAAGTACACACACCATTTTCATGTGGCAATTATACTATTTTACTCTAATACTTACAGTCTGAGTACAGTAGACAGACAGGGAAAGACTCAGTATACCAAAACAAAAAAACATAATTAATAATAACAGCAAGAAATGAGAATAATCACATATTGGATGAAATTCTGCTCTCATTTACTCCACCATAATAGTTCATTCTGGTGACTAGTATGTGAATGTGCCCTCTTTTATATATAGGGTGTGTGTGTGTATATATATATATATTTATCCAAAGAACTATACATTTTATAGACTGCAGCATTTGGTTAATGGTTACTAAATCTGGCATTTACAGAGATGTTAGGAAAGATGGTATTTATTTGCAATTTTATTTCCCTCACATGGAATCCATACAGCTGTACAATGAAGATGATTAGAATTGCCAGAAATGAAGGCCTCCTGGGAAAAAAAAATATCAATAGCATAGTTTAACTACATGAACCATAATTG